TATGACACTGAAGCAAGCAATGTTTGGGGTCAGTCCATTAAAATTCTGGGATTTATTTTTCGGTTTTGATCCAGGAGGGAAAAACGTAGATCCGGATGATATAGTTAAGTTATTGGTACCATCATTAAGGATTCCTCAGGCTGGTTTCATGAATGTTCTCTTTCTCCTTTCATCGAAAATTATCTTATGCCATACTATTAAACATGCCTCATTGTATTGTAAATATACTTCATACTTTTGTACTATATCAATAGGATTATATATTTTGTGATATGCACTTAATAAAAAACTGTAAAAATTCTTATGTTTTGTTACAAAATATTAATCTGGAATTATGATTGTTAAACAAATGAAGAATTAAAATTAAAATCCTCTGTTTTAATGTATGAAAATTGAGGTAATATAGTTTTAAGAATTCAATAATTTTGTATATTAAATGGTAATTATTTGCTAACAAGGCTGGGAAATCCATTGTAGATAGTGTGAATGTCATTGTAATTAGTGTGAATGTCAAATGTTAAGTTTGTTATTTAATATGAAAGAAAATGTAAATATTTCACCGAATTATGAATTTCCATTTTTTTTTTTAACTAGAACGGAGGAGAATGTAATGTAAATGTTACATAGTGATTTTAGTGGCACAAAGGCAGTGATGTTACGAACAACTGTCAAAAATGGACAAAGACAGATGAAAGGGGAAGCAAGTGCCATATGTTAGTTAGGGTAGAATATAGCCAGCCGGCTAGTAAAGAGAATCGTTAAAAGAAAATGTGAGTTAACAAGTAGTGAGTGTCAACAAAGCAAGATTATAAGATTCACTGCAGAACAGGGTGAGTGAAATATAAATAGACAGTTCGAAAGCGCGCCAAGATTAAATCCCGAAAAATGAATGGAAATTCATAAATGTTATGTACAATAATGTATGCTTTTATATTGTATAATTGAGGATGAGTGTTTGTTATCTCAAGTAATCATGAATATCTAAATTATTAACAGAGTCTTGTAGAATTTTGTTGTCTGTATTTGAGAATCAATTATTGATTAAAATAAATATTATTTGATTCAGAAAATGTTTTGTTTACTTTTCAAAGGGAACATAACCTTACAATATATATATATATATCTATAATATATGATAGTGACCATTTCACTAGTACGCTCCGGCAAAACAGTAATTTACTAATTGTATCTTTAGATATCGCAGGTGCTTTTGACAATGCCTGGTGGCCTGCGATCTTAAATAATCTAAGGATATATAACTGTCGAAAAAACATATACAACATTATTCAAAATTATCTTTCTGAAAGAAAACTTGGAATCCAAACAAGCTTTCATTATATTGACAAGAAATTAACGCTAGGGACTCCTCATGGATCAGCCCTATCACCTGTACTTTGGAACATCTTAATAAATACTGTTTTCGAAACAGACCTACAGAGAAATATAAAATTATTGGTATACCTTGACGATTTATTATTACTTATAAAATGAAGAGATTTTGATTAATTACGGACAATAGCAAGCATAATGTTATTATCAAGGCTGAGACAGTGGGCTAAACGCTACAAACTTAATTTTAATCTAGAAAAGACAAAATATATAATCTTTACAAAAAAAAAAAATTGTACCAGAATTGGATAAACCACTCAATACAGTAAGACCAATTCAACATAACACATTATCATATTTAGAGCTACTCTATGGCAGAAAATTATATTGAAACAAAAAAAAAATTGGATTAGACAATCTATATAACGACACTTTACAGATTATAAATGGTCTGTCAGAAGCTGCTAGAGTGACATGGGGTCTCAGATCGGAAGTGGTGAGGGAAATTTATGAAGCTGCTGTATGTAAGAGCTATCCTATAATATAAAATATGTAAGGGCTATCCTTCAAATTTTTATTTGAGGCTACAATATTATTGGCAGGACTGTTGCCAATCCAAATGAATATTGTAGAACGTACTACCTTATTTAACATTAGAATAGGAAAGAAAGAATACAAAGACCCTGACCCTTGACAAAATAGGAAGAATCATTGACTGTAAATCTTGGCTACAGCCTGTAACAAGTTTAAGTACTGAACCAAAAATTATCTCTGAATATACTAATGTCTTTACTCACAGTAGTAAGGAGAGTGAGAACATTGGATGTGCATGGTTATTCAGAGCTCAGGATGGTAGGATTATAGAACATCAATATAAATTAGAATCATATTGCTTGAATAACCAGACAGAAAAATTTTCTGTTTTAAAGGTGACCGAATACATTAATAGCTTAAAAAAAAAAAAAAAAAAAAACTACCACTAAAATCCATGAAAGGTCTCGGGTTCAGTACTATTTAGGAAAAGCACTGTTTCTAGGTCAACGGTTGTGCAAGGAGGTGATTTGACCAAGATCACGCTCAACCACCAGGTTTTTCCCCTTAATTAATTATTTAATTAAGGGTACCCACTTTATAGAGGCTGGGTGTGCCCCAGGAGGGTCTACCTACCCAGTGTCGCCCCACGGCCAATGAAACAGATAAATAAATTTTCTGCCATGAGCCGGGTTTCGAACCTGGGACCTTTAGCATTTGAAGCTCAGTACCCTACCACTGAGCTACCCTACTCCCTATTATCTACATTTATAACTACCCTCTACAAACAAACACACACGTTATTATAAATACAGACAACAAAATTCTACTAGACTGTTAATAATTTAGATATTCATGATTACTTGATTGACCTAATTAGAAACCAATTGTACTGAAAACTGTAGGAAATGAATAAAAGCACATTGTGGGATTGAGGGTAATGAACTAGCCGATTACCTTGCAAAAGAGGCAGCTATAAGCGATTTGCCGCCTTCATATCATCAAGCTCCTTTATTCCATATTAAGATGAATTTTAAACTCCAATAAATCCCATCAAATTACCTTTACTCTTCGTCGTAAACCTATGACTTACTGTCCTACAATATCCTTTAACAATACCCCACTTATCCCTGTTGACCAAATCCGATACCTAGGACTCCACCTTGACAAACGACTCACTTGGAACCCCCATACCAGACTAAAACGACTAGAAACCACCCGACGTTTCCGACTACTCCAGCACTTACTAGACAAACACTCTAAACTGCCAACTATTTACAAAAGACTCATATATATTACTATAATAAGGCCGGCCTATATGGACTTATGGGATCGAGCTTTGGGGCTCTACTAAACCATCAAATTCCTCTCGTATCCAATCCCTACAATCCAAAATCCTTCGTAAAATCCTTAATGCTCCCTACTTTGTCACAAATAAAATCATCCAGATACCTGTCCTTTCATAATAAACTTCTGAACCATCCGAACCCTCTCGTTTCCAACCTTGCTTCCTCTTCTATTTCTGATAACCCTCCGAGGTGTCTGAAAAGAAGATGGCCTCAGGACCTTCTAATATAGAAATATAATTGGAGTGCTACCAATGGGTAGTTTCTCTTCATGTTGTACATGTCATATTACTTGTTCATATTTATTTGTTGTATTTATTATTAATTACAGTTGTAAATTTTGTTAATAAAAAAAAAGAAAGATGAATTTAAAGTTGGATTTCATCAAAAGATGGGATCAAATATGGGTGACCTCAGCCAAGTCACCAAGCTTACACAGATTCATATCACATATTACACTTCACAATTACAGACGCATTCACAGTACTAACTACAAACTTATGCAAGTACTTACAGAACATGGGAATACAAAACAATATCTTAAAAGCTTTAACATTATACAAACAGAGTTATGCGATGAAGACGGACAGGTTCAAAATTTTAAACATATAATATGTGACTGTAAAAAATTTGACAGACAGTGATTTGATTTATGAGTTTTATTTTTCTTTAGGATACATCGTTTTGGAGTTTATTTTATGGTTTTTGACATTTTTATGGTGAATCCATATCCGAATCTAGTAGATAACTCGATATGCAGAAATTTTTTCCTGGATCGACTACTTTCCATCACCAAATGACGTCCCGTTGCCCTGGAGCCAGGACCCAAAAATCAACCTGATTTTTATGGTATTTGGTATATTATTATGGTATTGTAAATTACGAAAGTGTATGTTATCCTAAGTAAAAAGAACCTTGTCTGCCATTCAAGAGCCGCTGATTTCAAAAATGGTACCTAATTTAATGAATATTAGGCCAGTAACTTAAGGATCAAAACACGAAATCCATTGCGGAAAATGTGAGAAAAGTTTTTATTTTTTTAACTTGTATATATGGGTTTAGACATGTAAAAAAAAAAATTTCTAATGCGGGCCACTGCTAGAAAACTTTTCACAGCCAAAAAAGTAAACATTTTCCAATATTTTTATTGTTTTTTCACCTATAACTCCTAAATAATGCATCGAAGCGAAAAATATACTCTTTAAGAAATTGCAGAACGTAAAATAGTGCATAATAATTTGGTTAGGTATAAAACCACGGTCAACTAACTCTGTTTTTAACCAAATGTTTCAAAAACAGAGACCAATCACTATAAATGATCCTGTAATTTGGAAATAAGTTACCTAAGAGGAAAAACCCATAGAATTAAAGTTGTAGGCCATTCAATTTTGTGTTCACTGAGTACTGACATTCTTATTGTGACTGAAAGCAATGATTCTGGAATAGCAGACAAGGTTCATTTTACTAGAATAACATAAACTTTTGTAATTTACATTCAAACCTTCGTCTATGATGAGGTCAATTTTCAGACCCTGACTCCAGGGCTAATTGGACTGTATAGGATTTACTTCATAGTATGTAATCCAATATTTAGGGCCATTGTTGCTGTAACCATGCACTTCTGCCAATGCAATATTTGGTGTTAATTCAGTTCTATTAAATTTTTTAAGATGTTAATATTATTGTTGAATTGAAGCTTGATGTCACAGGAGTGAAATCTAAATTCAATAAAAAAAGATATCGTCCTCTTAATAAAAGTTGTGTTAATATTAATAAAATATTTTTATCTGATAGGAGACTGCAGGTACTACTGAGACAGTGATCACCAGTAAACTTACTGGTGTTGAAGATCATGCTACATTGGAAAAAATAGGGCCTTGTGTTTCTATGAATGCTTCTACAACTGATAGAAAACCAACTATTGGTATTAGAAAACCTCAAGCCAAAAGAAGTGGAGTAAGTTTTGTGCCTTTATCTTTATGAATATCATTTGCTAAAATTTATAATCCTTTTGTTTATTTTTCCCATACAATGCATGGTTGCTTTCTGTTTGGCCACTATTATTACTTTAATAGGTGACTTTAATGGTCTAAATTAGGAAATTATACAATTGATCTGTGTATAGTTTCTTTTTGTGAGTTAATCCAAGGAGCATTAATTGCATTTGCTTCAGCGAGTACATTTAGTTTTTTTTTTGTAGTTGGAAGAGGCATCCTCCTCTCTTGAAGCAAGAGTTTCAAATAGTAAAGTTTTGGAGCCTTTCTGGTCACACTTCATGAGCTGATCAGGTTTTAGATTTTTATTTTTAATAGCACAAAATCATTTGAGAGTTTTTCTCGACGATTTCTTATTTGTTTCAGACCATATTGCTTCTTCGAATATTTTAGGCCTATGCCTGTAGTACAATTTTCAAGTTTTTTCAACTTAAAAACAAAAGTTTATTCTTGTGATTCATACAATGCTTGTTTCCTTTTGCTTATAAAACAAACAATGCTTCGCTGTTTCTTAATCTGCATTCTTCATTGATTTCTGCTCATTAGCACACTAAGCCATTAGCCATGTGAACAACTTTGGATTAGCACCATTGCTGCTTCATATGTCAATTTTTGGCCATAAATTAATGATATATTTATGGAACATTGCATGTAATTATATAAAAATCTAAGCTGTTATTTTTCTGATAAAAATTTACAATTTTTGAATTTAGTGGAGGAGCAAGAAGCCCTTTAAGTTGTAATAAGGAATTACAAAGCTAAATTTCGTGGATTAGAATGAAGTCCATTATGGAGTTTTTGCATGATATTCTGCAAAATTTTGAGCCACAATAGAATTCATTTGATAAAGAATGCATTTCAGATAATGCCTCTATGATATAAAAAAGTTTTTAGTGACTTTCATATTACTTTCACTTACCTACTATAAATGAAATATATACCTATGTATGAAATATATTGTAAGGGAAAGTATTGCGATTGTGAAAATTTTCGAATCTGAGTTTTCAACGGAAATACATCTTTTGAGGTCCCCTGAGTTCAAATAATCTAGTTCCGCAAAATGGTCTGTGGGTGTGTGTGTGTTTTGGTTAACAGCCTAGCTCAAAAATGAAAAGTCGTTCAAAAGTGAAATTGCATTTTTAAGACTTTTATATGGTTGGAATGTTACAACTCTTTTTGTCAAAATTAACTGACCGAAAGTGGCCCTTTATGTCATGGACTTAACACATTTTTACAATTTTCTAAAAAATGGCTCTTAACGATTTTGATTAAATTCATTATATCTATGTAAAATTAAGCATTTTTAAATAAAGTGTTGGTTTTATTCTGATTGATGTTCTCTAACAGGGCTTAAATGGCTAATTTTCAATATTATCTTCCTGTAAAGTACCTTTAATTTTTTTTATTTGAAACAGTTGACCATTTCACATTAATCTCTAATATAAAAGATAGTTAAATATATCATATGAGAGAATTTGATAATTAACTAAAAGAAAAAGAAAAGATCGTACCGAAGAATATTTGTAATTGAGGAACCAAAAGAATACTAGTACACCCGAGCTCGCCTGAAAGATTAGAACATGCTTCCATACGTAACATGAGCTTAATATAATAGGGATTCCAACAATATTATGTAAATATACATATGCGGTTTTCATGAATGCTATTGTTGGTATTATTTAATATTTAATTGTATAGATTAGTGATATAAATATTAAAATTTTTATATATATAAGGGTACTTATACAAATAAAAATACCCCCAATGAAATATAAATCAATATAGCGTTTATAATTTTTACTTTCACTTCCTCTTTGTCGGAAAATACTTATTTCTGCTAACAAGAGGGTGGTAAGTGAAAGTAGTGTGAAAGTAGCACCAGATTTTTTTTGTTTTAGTATTATGAGAGTAGGATATAACAGGAGCTCAACAGCAGCCCAGTCCTATAGGCTTAGTAGTGCTGCTCTGCTTTGGCATTTATTTTATAAATTATAACACTGTTCATTTAATTACATGTGTGTTGCATACATAATAAAGATTTAGGCTAAAAAAATTGTACAGGAAATTGTGTTTTCATCTGGAGGTGGTAGTTTGATTTTACCTAGGTTACAATAAATTTTATTGCATTATGTTGTGATATAATTATAATTATTATGAAATATAAAAGGAAGCACAATATAACTTACAATGAAAATATTAGAAATGAAAGGTTCAAATTATTGTTGGGCTTATATGAAGCTGGACAAGTTGAATATATATTATGGTTACAAATTCGCTATAAGAATAATTATAATGATATAATAATATAAATTGGCCATAAGGCGTGATGCATAATATGGATTTTTAAAGAAATTTAAAATTTGTCTGAGCTGTGGTTTTGTTCAGTTTATTTTACTTTGATAAAAACTAATAAAATCTGAACTACAGAATACATGTAAATTAAAGTTGAACAGTTTGAGCAAGGAGTAGTACAATTAAATGAACAGTTGTATAATTTGTAAAATGGGGGTTGGTCATCTGGCCATCTGGCAGACAGGAGATACCCCCCTAAAAAAAAAAAAAAGTCATATTTTAGCTATAGGTTGAAATAACAGTGTGCAGGAGAAGTATAGTGAGTGGGAATAGGAACTGTGGACTCTAGTTTGAAATATACTTCTGGTGTGCAGTTTCTATATGTTTTATAGCTGATTTATTTATAAAAGCTACTAAAACCTTTTTATTTCTTTTAAATTTCCTGGGATTCAAAACGAAGACAATGTAAAAAATAAAATACTCATAATGACATAGTCCAGTCAAAATACCCTGAATGTGACCAACCTATAGTAATGCAACTAATCCTTGATATTTTCACTTTATTATTTGGCTTATAGAAAGAAATGAAAATTATCTGAAGGAAAGGTGGTTATGACTGACAAGAGAAATCAGGATAGCCGACAGAACGTGTCCCTGTTGCTAATGATGGCTATAGCCTAGTCTATAGGCTCACCCCACCACTCCTGTGCTCATTCCCCAGTGCTAACGTCCGCTATAGCCGTCTCACTGCTTTTCTTTCCATTTGTTGATGTCTAGTATAGCCAACCTTGTTACATTCTACTGGTTTCCTAGCGAAATAAATATAGTAGGCGGGTAGCAGTTTTGCTTAGCACTGTGGTAGATGTAAAGCTTGTCACTCACAGAAGTTAAAAGGTTAATAAGTATTGTATCTATTATTGGATTATTTCATCAATCTAAAATTAATGTTTCCTAGTATTATGTCTAAAAGTGATACACACGAAAGAGAGAACTACAATAATATTGCACGGCCTGGTCAACTATGTTGAGTTGCTTAATTGCACAGCATACTCATCAATCAACTGATAATATTTTCAAAAAATAACCGAGTTAGGTTGAATCATTTGAATATATAGCTAATATGTCGAGGACAGTTTACCAAATCAAATACGTGAAGGCCAAGATCAATATATGTGGTGATGGAGGATTCCTAACGAGTCTAAAATTATAGTTTTTGGCATGGTCTGCATCTGCTCCCTTCCAACACCAAAGCTCTGTGAGAAATTACTTGTAGTAAGAGGGATGGTGCCCCTACTTCTGAACCATAGCCCTTTAACTGAGAATATTCTCTCGCTGAATTGGTATCTATACTTTTCCTTCAAGTAGGATATGCGCATTTCTTATAAATTATCTCTTTCTCTGCCTGTACCTTGAGCCTTCTATATTCAGGCAGTACAATTTGAGGAGACATCGATAGTTCTTCATTTCTAGGAATTCAGCTATATGATGCTTTATATAACGTGCCAGCTGGTGATAAGGAGCATGTTATGCAGACAATTGTCCATTACATGAGCTGGGGTTTCTGATTCTCGGGCCACATTTGTTTTAACGTCCATGTTAGCCTGGCTTCCGGTCCTTAGTACTCTGGAGAGAGGAACCTAATTGATATTTAATTTTGTGGTATTTGTCCGTTCTGAGCTGACGAGAACTTTTCTATCTTAAATCTGTTGGCCCATGGGTTAGATTTAAAATGGGACACACTAATCCAATCAGTGAAGGACTTTTAGCAATGGTTCCATATAACTCGCTTCAATCACTATCAGAACAGCACAAATTTTTACTTCTTCCTTGAAATCAAAACTTGCCTAAAAACAGGGCATCTGTTACGTTGGCTAATTTTTGGGAAATGGGTCAGTGATGAAGAAGATTCTCCCATTGACACCACAAAATACCCAAGCTCCTGTATCACCGTGGTGCATATATCATCATTGAGCAAGTGCTGGCCGGTAAAGCTATCATCGCCTCAACACTTCTTCATAGTATGATATTGATATACTCCAATAGCAGTGGGGGCAATTTCGCCAATGGCACTGTCCTCAGTGGGTATATTAGTGAAGGGAAGGTGTATTTGTTAACAATATTGATTTTCTGTTCTGGCTTGAGGAGATTTGAATAAACCAATTATTTCCATATTTCTAGTTACGTCAGCCACAGAACCATCATTAAACTCAAGCCCTCCAGAGAACCCAAGGTATTTAATAGTGTCTCCCTCTTCAATGGAGTTGATTACTTCTCCGGTATCAAAGCAAAACATTGATTTTACTAAGTTTCCCTTTCAAAATATCACATTTTGAGTCACCTCAATTGTTAAAATGAAGAGATGTGTTTTTCAAATTCTGTAATACATTCCATTGTTAAATTAAATATTAGGCTGTATAAAAAAGAAATGACTGACCTGACTACTGCTTCTTTTTACCTTACCCATAGCGTGTAGATGGACACACAGGAGTGCCTTTTGACACTGCACACTCCTTGGCAAGATCATGATTACTTGTGGATGGATTTGATCCTGCAGCTTGCTGAAAAACATATCTCAAATGATGGTCACCTGGGTCCTTTTTTCTATCCAAGGATGTATCTCCACTAGACAATTTTTGGAACCAACAATGCGCAATTTGCTCGTCAATACTTTCAGTTTTGTTAATTTCATTAGCTGCTTCGGCAGTTGAACAAGATTTTTTTCAATAATGTCGTTGAGATAACAAGATTTTCATAAGACATTGACATGTTGCTTTTTCAATAAAAACTTTTGAACTAACACTTTATTGAGCCAGTCCATTATTGATAAATAAGCTTAGATTAGTGTTCTAAAGATATAATATATTGTTGGTAAACGATAAATGGGATTAATGCATTAACAGTTCTTGGGATTCGTGCATTGGACAAAATGATCATATTTTTTTATGTAGCCCATTATTTGAGTATCTTCAAAAAATATATTGTTTTTAAAAAAATAAATCTGGTCATATTACATTTTTTTTTAATATAAACTTTTTAGATTGGCAACAAGAATCGATTAAGCTTAGGTGCTCAAAAATCAAGCACTAACTTTGCTGATGTTGAAAGAGAAGCTGTATTATCTGAAAAACTGAAAGTTCAAGTACAAAAAGAAAACGAAGAGCGCAAAAAAGAAGTTGATGAAACCCAGGTATACTATAACAATTGAAATTAATTAAATATTTCCCAATAAATTTAGATATTGATCGCACTTTACCTAATCTATACTGTAATCGACAGGTTCGTCATCCATCTCATGAATAAATATAAGTATACCATTAGTAGTTGTTAATTCATCTTTTTTTAATATTAAATGATGTAATTTTACTTGGATGTTCTAATCCAACACTTATAATATAATGAAAGAAATCAAGTATCTTATTTTTTAATCTATCAGTAATAAAAAACATGAGAGTTCAAAACCGTAATAATCTCAAGAAATTTTACAAATGGAATTCGATTAACTACACAAAACATTAATTGACGAAACCTAACGCTGTACAAATAAGGATTATGACATATTAAAATGGTTCTATAATAAATTGGCCATTTATAATACTAAAATTCAACTTATAAATATCTAGCAATATCAACAGCACGACTGCAAGGAAATTATTTTACTACTGGAACATTACTAATCCTATAACAAGGTGTCTACTAGTCAAGAATTTTTGGAATATGTTGGGAATTCTGTATGTCCATGAATAAGCCTCGAAATCCCTATAAATTTAGCTAATTCACCATTAGTTCTATACTAAAATATCTTTCTTCAATTTTCATAAATTCTGAAAGCCAATTCTGGCTATATTTTTCTTTTCCATTTATTTTAGCCATTTAAATTTTAAAGGAAGGAGATGGTCCGGGGTTGCGGTCATAAAAAGGCTAAATAGTGGTAAAACTATTTTATTGAAAGCCAAAGTTTCGACCCGACTTTGTAGGTCTTCATCAGGGCTAGAACGGACAAGATACGAAAAGATGGAGAATTGTGAAAATTACAATAATATTTAGACATAATTTATAAACAATGTGAATAAGCTTATTAGAATTATAAACAGTAAGTACAATACTATATGGACTAAGTAAGCTGAGTAACAAGATCCTAAAATAAAGTAAATAGATGCTAACAATTGTTGTAGTATAATATATAACAAATGAAAATGTGAGTATAATTCTACAAAATCTACAGAAGAAAAAAATAAGATTAGAGACTTACAGGTGTGTTCCTCTAGGAGTTTCACTTAAAACTGGAAAGGCAGCGGTAAGGATTGCAGGTATAGGGGGAGTTAACATGTGTTAACTAAGTAAAGGATTGCAGGTATAGGGGGAGTTAACATGTGTTAACTAAGTAAAGATTGAAAAATCCAGGAATGTACAGTACCTAGGAATTTTTGAAGATATGGATGGATACAATGGAAAAATACTATATCTATAAATATTAAATTATAAATATATAAATATACCTATAAAATAGAGTTGAGAGATGTGAGAAGTATTTCATGATTCTAGATCAGAGTACAATGTGAATAAACCCAAAATTGGTAAAAAGTAAAATGTAAATATAGAAATAACTTCATTAACATACATACATACATACAGAGCTAACTTAAAAGTATAGAGAGGGAAAAAAAAATATAGGGTGGTCATACATTGGTGTAGAGTGTAAATGTAAATTTAGAATAAAATAGAAGAGAGATCATACAAAGAAGGAATATTTAGAATAATGAACAATTAAATGAATTAATTTGGCTTTCAAAAAAATAGTTTTACCACTATTTAGCCTTTTTATGACCGCAACCCCGGACCATCTCCTTCCTTTATAATGCAACGGTCAACCATTAAATATTCAACATTTAAATTTTAGTTTTTAGAAGACGAATTAAAGTAAAAACTAATTGATGCAATACTTATCATTTAGTTAATTTGTACTAATCATTTATTTTTCCTGATGTTTTATTATGGTTATATCATCATTATCTCATGTGTACTTTTGTTTGTATTGTGTACTTACTCTTACTTTGGCTTATTTATTACTTTTTTCTATATTTTATTTTTCTGATTTAAATTTATAATTTTTAGCCCTGACACACATGCTTTGGTCGAAGTGTCAGAAAGGGTAATAAACTATATAAAAACTGATTTTATTTTCAAAACTATTTCTAATCAGGAATTTTTATATAACCCATGAAAAAGTTGGGAATTTCAATTACCAAAATTGTTAGAAACCGTGTATAATCAATATTCATTAAAAACGTTTAATCTATTATGATATTACTGATTTATTTGTAATTTTACTGATATTTCTTGTTAGTAATTATTTTATCAAACGTTTATATCATGCTAAATCTCAGGTTGTGGCCATGATTAATGAAGTTGATAGATGTAAAAGCAGGCATCGCCTACACAGTTTATTTGATAACGTTTTTGGTTTCATATTTAGAATTACAACCACTTCTGTTTAATATAAAATTGCAAAATATACAGTATTTTCAAATACATTTTTATCATTTTTTACCAAAAGAGTACAATACTAGTTATGGTCACATTACAAAAAATTTTCGGTTTTTATTTTTTTATCAATTACCATCTTTAAATAACAACCATTTGAAGTTTTGTAGTCCAAAAACATATTTTTTTACAACTTGAGTCCATGGCTTGGACAATTCACCACTTATTTAAAAGATTTTACATATTTTCGGAGCAAGTGCTTTATTGTGGCTTTGAGGTTTTAAAAGATACCTGTTTAATATTATATGCAAAGATTGACACTAAACATCAAACTAAATCAATTTTTGTTTTGTAAATGTTTGGTAAGAGCCCTTCCCTTCCCGTGAAGAGCAATGAAATATCCATTTTTCGAAGATGTCCCTTCTGAAGACGGCAGGGTATTGCTTGCCACTGTAGTCCATTATTCTTTGAGACAATTTCATTCTTGGTTTACTAATTGTAATATAATAAATTCAGTACAGTTTACAGAGATGGGCATATTTATATTGAAAAATATAAATACGAATACCATTTAAATTTATGGTACTAATGAATGTAAATATGAATATATTTATATTCATAAAAAGAAATATGAATACAGATGATATGTATTCACGGCTGTAAATATAAATACGGCCGGATTCACGATTGTGAAGTGAATACGGCTGGCTGTATTTACACTAGTAAATGTGAATACTGCAGTATCCACGTTTACTAAAATGAATAAGCTTAAATTTACAGAAGCGAATGGAAATATTTTCATACAACCTTATTATTGAATACTCTTATTTATTAAAAAAAAAAATGTTTACTGTATATATCATTTTATTTTTATAAATAGTATTATATTCTTTCTTTTACAATATGTTATGTTACAATGTATTATGTTATGTTAATTATCAATCGTTGTGTTTGTACCTAATATAAATTCACGAGCCTTTTTATTTACCCCTGTAAAAGTGGAGACGGCAGTATTCATGTTTATTAAAATGAATACGCTAAAATTTACAGAAGTGAATGCAAATATTTTCACACAACCTTATTAGTGAATACTCTTATTTATTAAAAAAATATATTTAACATGTCTACCATTTTATTTTTTATACATAGTATTATATTCTTCATTTTACAATATGTTATGTTAAGTTAATTTTCACTCGTAATGTTTGTACATAATATAAGTTCCCGAGCATTTTTTTTTTTTTTTTTTTTTTACGGATCTGTCGGACCACCCTCTCCCATACCGGAATAGAAAGTCTGCGGCATCTATGATCCTAGGCATGCAGACTTTTCGGTGCACTGTTTACTTATGGGTTGCTAATGGCAATAAAGATAAGTTTAATGGACGGTCAGGGTAGGTACAACATTAGGAACGATACCCAGGAAATTCCTAGGAGGAATACTTGTACACGGCAGCCTTATGTTGAAGCAAGTAGGCAAGGGCTGTCAAATTTGGATAGTGACCTTTCCGGATCTGCCGTTCTGTATGTAATAAAGTGTAATGTGTAAATAATGTAATAACTACATATAATATAAAATAAGGCTGTGTTTTTACTTCATCGCATTTATTCCACTTTTACATCTACATCGGCTACGTTTTGGCTAATAAGCCATTTTCAAGCTAATCCACTAATGTTGCTTAAGTCTTCTTTAAATGACCTATTATTTTAATATAAATACTTCACCTAAAACAAATAAGCACACATGGATTTAATAAATATATATATTTTTAAATAAATAAGAGTATTCATTAATAAGGTTGTGTGAATATATTTGCATTCACTTCTGTAAATTTAAGCGTATTCATTTTAATAAACGTGAATACTGCCGTATTCACTACTTGTGATTTATTCTACCTAACATGTTAAAAAGTATGATTATGTGATTACTTTAGTATAATAATAGACTTTTGGAATAATTCAAATGTTTCTTATAAGTGAATAGAGGCGTTTTGGTAAAATACGCCTGGGCTGTACTTGTGTGGTGGATGATTTTGAAAATGATCAATTACAAGGTGTATTTTAAATAAACAATTATCTATAGATTGCACATTTATCAAAATTTATATTTATCATCTATCTTGCTATAAAATTTGAGTTTAAAATTATCATCTCCTTAGATTGCTTCCATGAGGCTAGCTTATGAAGATATTAGTCTCAAACAAAAAACAGAAGAGGATAAATTGAAGGTAACTGATCCAAAAAAGGCTGTTCAGTTGGAAAGGCTTGGGATGGGCCTCGGATCAAGAGTGTGAGTTTTTAAATTTATTTTTCTCTTGAATTGAAAAAAAAGACTGGATGTTGTTCATACCAAATAGGAATGTAATTTTCATGTATTTTAGAGTGTTTTATGAAGTTTAATAGTATGTATGGTGAACAGAAGCCTAATATTGGTAGTTTCCATGAAAATTACTGTTCACATTTAAAGACCACTAAACTGCGTTTATACCAGTTTTAGGATTTTGGTATTTTTTTACAGTGTGCTGCGACTGCTTAACAGTTAATTGTGAAAAATACTTTGCAGACACAAATGTGAACAATTTTGTTTATTTTAAATTTGTATATAAATAGAAATAGAAAATAACTTTACTCTGGGACAAAGTCTTTCATAATAACACAATGATACAGAAAAAGAAAAAGAATTACTTCTGGCCAGAACTATTACATTAATTAGTCAGGACATTATACAACTAAAGTATACTAAGAATATATGGAAAATCAAACAATGAGATTTTTTATTATATTTACTATACTACTATTTACAAAATATATAGTGGTATTCTCCAAATTTGTATCATCAAACTGATTGTAACCTACTCTTGTTAGCAGGAGTGCCCCAAATGGGGTTTCATGGCGAAAGCTGCGCCATAAAAATTTTTTAGGGGGCATATTTTGACGGGTTTTTGAATTTTTGAGGGAGGCAAAGTTCGACGGGATTATGAATTTTCTTCGGTCGAGGGGAAAAACATGGAACATACTGCAGAAAGTGTAATTGTATATGAAGTTGTTCTATTTTTATGCAAAGGTGAGCAATAAAATATCTTGGGAGGATGGGGGGAGGGTAGGTTCTTGCGCTATCGACCTTGGGGGGGAACGGGCATCCCTGCTAGTTAGTGAAATATTGTATTTTTTATAGAATGAATACAAATTCTAAGAATTGTATCCATTTTGCAAGGTTAGAATTTTGTCATGAACTTCTTTCTCTATATTTCAATACTAAAAATTAAAATTTAGGATTTTCTAGATATAATAAAATACTCGTAATCTATCTCAATATCTCATTAAAGTTTAATTAAAAATTCTGGTAAATAGTTTTTTATTTTGTAGAAATTTTTATATTAAATTATTGAAATATGTTTTCAGGGGTATATCTCACTCAGCACTTAATGACATGAAAACGATTCATCAAGAAAATTCCAATAAATTTGGTAAATCACATGATGTTGAAGCTCATGATTTTTTTGATGACTTCGGATTCTCCTCGAGCAACAACTACAATCCTTTGTAAGCAATGTATTAGGATATGTGGTAAAATGTATCAAAAACAAGAAGATAACCACTGTATATGTGTATATATATATATAAGTATATCCTTGGATTCAGAGGGCAAGACCTCTAATACTTACTCATACAACCCATTGACTCATTTATCAATACTATAGATGCCCAGAAAATTCATTCTGTTTTCTTATAAATTCATATTTCTCAGTTTTTTTTTCTCTTGTCAAATTTCAAGAATTATAGTCAATGGCGTTTAGCATAACAACCCTTATATTAGTTTGTATGTATTTAAAGTTGTTAAGCATATTTTTAATTATTCTTTGTATTTTTCAATAGGTACAAAAGTTCACCACAATCACAGTCTCGTATGATGTCATCTGGATCTGATGACAATGAAGATACCATTAAAACATTAATGAACTATGACAGTAGCTTTTCATCTCAAACCACTTTTGATAATAGCTTTAAAACACAAAACAATTACAACAGTGGTCATAAATCTCAGAACAATAATGTAAAAAGGAATGTTGGTCTTCCATCTGAATCAACTACCGTTGCTCAAAAAAAATTTGGAACTGCTAAATCTATATCATCTGATCAATATTTTTCTGATTCCTCTGAAAATACGGTTTGTTTATTTAAATGTCTTCACCTAAATTTTATTTTTTGGAAAATTTTAATTAAACATTAATTTTTGTCTTACAGTGGGAACAAAAATCAAATCTCTCTAGGTTTGAAGGCTCTACAAGTATATCATCAGCTGACTATTTTGGAAGGAATGAAAATGCTCACCAAAGAGGGTATATTTCAAGTCAACTACAGGCACCAGATCTTGAAGAAGTGAGGGAAAGTGTGAAACAAAGTGTCACAAAAGTTGCTGGAAAACTTAGTTCTTTAGCTAGTGGAGTCATATCATCTATTCAGGTATACCATTTTTTTTTTTTTTTTACTGAAGTAATTTAAACACATTTAGTGTGCACACAGTTCAGGAAATTACACTCATGGATCTAAAACAAATTTTTATCATATATATATCTATATATATATATATATATATTAGTATTGAGGATATTGGAAAAATGAAGAAAACATTGTTTCTCTTAAAAACATTAATATGTTTCTGAAACATGTTCCATATGGCTGAGAACAAAGCACCTAGGCATAGTGTTTATAGGAAAAAGAATTGCCATAAATTATATGTTGCAATTTTTTTCAAATTGGCTATGTGAGTTCTTTGCAATTAGTTAGATTTAAAGGTTGATTTCATAAATGTATTTATGTTTTATGAAGATGGAGTACAGAAACTAGGCATGGGTTCCTTAAAGAGCATTCATATTTTGTTTTCCTGCTGGCTACTTTTTTAATTAAAACAATAGAAGGTAACTGAACTATTTCCTCAATTTTAAAGTAAAAGGAGAATTAAGACGGTGGTGAAAGAAAACGAATGATTTATGATTTATCTGCAAACGAATGATCGAAAGTGTTGTGAGCCTGGTCATAGCTTAGACTTGACCTGATTACAGCTGTCAATTTCTGTGGGTTAAAAAGTTTAAATCAAATAATTCATTATTTTAGTAACTTTTTTTTGCTGAATTAAATCTTTGATTGAACATTTATATTTCTTAAATTTGTAGAAAATATAGTTTATTTAATTATTTGTATAAACACTCATTGTAGTGATCAAACTATCAAAACTACATCTTATGGCTTTGAGTGTAACTTTAAAAAATACTTCAGCAACAATTGTGTCTTTTGTTAGGATTTCTTATTATTAATTTGTTGAAGGTGGTGATGGTGCACACATTGTTCAAATTAAGATTTCTATTAACAAATTTTAATGAATATATAAGTTAGTGTTCCTGTGATATATATATTTATATATTTTTATTTATCTCTTAATCACACTTATTTTCTTTTACAGGACAAATATGGAGGTTATTGAATTGAAACAGAAAACCATCTAAAAACTGTCATTTTTAATTGAATGTGTTGGCTCTAAATGTGTAGGTAGCTATTTACCATATTTTGTATTTTATATTATAAGATGAATGTAAAAAGTTATAAGTTAAGTTTAATAAATTTATTATTTATTTTTTAACCATGTTTTGGGATTTATTTTACCTTTGAATATCTTTAATGTTTTTTAAATTTATATATATTTTTTGTTTTTATAGAAGTGCATATAAACATAGTCATTTGAAGCACATATATTTTCTGGAATAAAAATAAAAAATAGTTTGCTTTATGATATGAATAATGATAGAAGCCAATCCTTTGATTTCAATTTTTTTTTTCATAATCAATTTGAACTCTTTCTTATGAATTTAAAATTTTGAAAAAAAAAATTGATTGTATTATGGATGAAAAAGCTTATTAAAATTTTTGCAGATATTTGGTGTGTTTTATAGCTCATGATTTTTTATATTCATATTATATGAGATCTAATTTCAACAGGGTGTCTATCAATCAGAAAAATATCAGGGATTATGTAAAAAAAAAATGTTAAAAATTTATAGTAGTTTGTGAAAATCTGGAAAGTTATCGTGACTTCTCAACTTCCATATGTCCTTTCAGTTTCAACTATGGGATAGTTAATTTTGATGAAGAATAAAAGAGACTTGCAAAAGAGTTTAGCCAACCAGAAACAGATACATATGTACAGTTCATCCCTTTCATTGAGGCAATGTAAGAGATTATCTCAGTCCCTGGCACATCTTTTTTGTTTTTCATATTTCGATTGATGCATTGATTTTGGTTTATAATTTTTAAAAATAAACCATTATAATTGACCTAAAAAAAAAAAAAATTGACCTCTCCTTCAAATTTGAGTCTTTCATGTTGAGACGCACAGCATTCGATATTGTATGAAAGAAATACTCATCTGTGACTGACTCATTTTTCTCACTATTTGTATTGTAATAGGGTGTATGAAAAAAAAAAAATGACTGTTTTTCATCCAGGTATTTGTATTATTATTTCTTTGATATAAAATACAATTAATACTCAAAGTATAGTCCATTGTTATCTACCATCATTAGCCAATTGCTCAAAGAACTCTTGGACCGTAATTTCAACTTCAGCAAAATTATCAAATTTTTTCCCTTGAAGAAAATGGGCCATGGATCTAAATAAGTAGTAGTCTGATGGTGCGAGGTCTGAACTATATGGTGGATGAGACAGATGTTCGAACCCATGAAGTTCTTAAAACTTTTCTTAGGTTTGACAGTAAGTGTGAGGACAAGCATTATCTTGGAATAAAATTCCTTTTCGGTTGATCAAAGCAGGATAACGCTATGACAACTTCCCGTAAAATCTTTCCAGTCATTCGCAGTAGAGTTCAGAATTCATAGTGCATCCATCAGGAACAAATTTGTGATGAATAACACCTTAAAAAATCCCTAAAACGCAAAATATTGATTTTTTTTCAAATTGCCCCCTTGCAGGGACCGGAAAAGCAGTTTGACCACGATTTATCTATTGCTCACGGGTATTTGGATTTTGCCAGTAAACGCACTTTTCATCACAGGTGACAATCTTCCAGTAAAACTTATATCAGAAGGGTTTGTCAATAAATCTTCACAAATTTCTAACCTCTTAACTGATTGCTGAGGAGTAAGTTCGTGAGGGGCCAGTCATCTACTCTTTTTCACCTTCCTCATGGAGAGTAGATGGTGACTAACAATATCCTTCGACACACCACACTCCCTAATAAGTTCGCGAGAGAACCTCATCAATATCCATTAATGGTCGCCTAGAGCCCTTCTTCCTTTCCAATGTCATATCTCCATTGCTAAATCTTTCAAACCAATGCCGTGCAGTGCGCTGGTCAAGGACACCTACCCCTTTGGATTTAATAACTAGTTACTTCAGCAGCTGGGAAATTTTTTTTCCAGTAATGCGTTAAAATTATGAGAATTTTGTAGGTCACTGTCATGTTTCTTCTTTGAAACAAATAACTAAACTGAGGCTTTTTTTGAAGAAGTCAAATGGGATTAAACAAGCTTAGAGAATGCTTTAAAGGGATTATTAAATATTAAATAGGATCAAAATATTTAAAGTCCTTTGAAATCTTGAATTTGATAAAACGATCATTTTTGTTTATACACCCTATTAGGATATCACAATTCATCTCAGAAAGAACTATAGAATTTTCGGAACTAATTTTGATCTTTCTTAGTTTTCAGTTTATATTTCATTAATCCAATCATACACCAATAATGTTTTTATTTCCAATCCTTATTTTGGAATGACGACGTTTCTGCTCATTGAGCCTAGTCTAAAAGCAGATTTTCCATATTACAGTTATTTACAATATTTTTCATGCATGATTGGCTTAATGTAATGTAAACTGAAATATTATATGACCCTGAAAGAACTGAAAATTATATTAATAATTTCATCTAACTCATTTTTTTATTTATGTGGTTTATTTAGGTGATTTTTCTTTTGCTTTGCCACTTTATTTCCATTTAAGTTGTAAAATATAAAATAAAGTTAAGAGATGTATTATATTCATATATAAATTAATATAATACATCTCTATTATTTTAACTTTTAAAAGTTATTTTAAGTTTTTAAGCTGAACTAATTTCTAGATAAATATATCTAGTCCTGTCATAAATATTGTTACAAAGAAATACATACAGATTTCAACAAAAAAATTTTTTTTTTCAAAAACTTTACTAGAAAATAAAATGTAATCTATAGGGAGTAAAACAAAATTGAAATTACTCAAAATGTCCCCCTTTTGCGTTGACACAGGTATTTAATCTCTGTGGCCAGTCATCAATAGCAGCACACAGCACTTCTTGATGAAAGCATTCAACGGACCAGAGATTGTTTGAGGCTTTCCAAGTTAGGGTGTGCTCTGTGGCATGTCATCCTCTCCAGTTTGGACCAAAGCCGATAGTTTAGTGGGTTAAGACGAGGGCTTCCTGAGGGCCAATCTGAGGCAGAGATGAACTCTGGAATGTTCTTTTGCAGCCACTGCTGAGTTGACATGGTCTTGTGAGCTAGAGGGGAATCCTGCTGGAAAACCTGATACTTTTTAGCAGCTCTTTTAACTTATTTTTCACAAAAATAGAGGTTTGTGGGGCCACCAGAGCAAACTCCCCACCAAACCATCACTGAGGAAGGCTGATGGCCTCTTTCCACTCTTCCAATGACTTCCTGGGCTTCTTTAGATGCTACTTTGCGTGCACACGATCATTTTAGCGATTAAATTTTTCTTCAATTGTAAAAATTTTCTCATCGCTAAACAAAATCTTTCGATGAAGACCATTGTGTAACGGCTAAGGAGCACTTTGCATCTATCCACTCTAATTTTTTTTTAGGGAAGTGGTTAGCCTTTGTCCTGTCATTCTTCGAAATGCACCCATCCTAAGGTCACTTTTTATTATGCGAGACATTGATCTGACAGAGATTCCCATTTCCCGAGACATGATTTGTTGTTTTCGAATGGGATTTCTTCTGATTCGAGCAGCCACTGCTCTCACTGCATTTGCCGTTCTCACAGTGCGGAGACGATCGAGGTCTGTCACATACAGATAGGGTCTCATTATATCTATTTATAGTGCGGTACACGAACATACGGCTGATATCCAAAGGTTTCAAAGTGTTGAAAATCTCTGACCTACATTTTCCAACTTTGTGTAAGGCGATCACAGCTATTCGGTTTTCTTTATCACCCCACTCCATGTTAACTGAGCGAAAGAAAAATACAAACTAATTAGGATTATTATCATGACATGTAAAGAAAATAACCTGTAGAGGTAAGGATTATCTAAATAATAACCAAGGATGTAAACAAAGTTCAACTTTTGTAACAGGATTTATGGCAGGACTAGGTATATCATCATCATAATCCTATTCCTCTTTCCCGCCTATGCAGTGTGAGGTACTAGGTATATATTTATATATATATATATGTGTGTGTGTGTGTGTGTGTGTGTGTGTGTGTGTGTGTGTGTGTGTGTGTGTGTGTGTGTGTGTGTGTGTGTGTGTGTGTGTGTGTGTAAAAACCTAGAAATATACCTAATATGTATGTATATATAACATATAAACATAAAATATCTATTTTTTTTTTTTCAATGTTTCAGTGCTTTAGTAGCTCTACAACACAGCCATTTATTATTCCATACATCTACATCCCATGAAATGATACGCGTTATATTTAAATATTTGTTGAACATAATTGTTAGAATGATTTTTTTGAAGTTTGAGTAATTATTTGTTAGTGTTTTAGATTGTGTTGGTTATATCGTGTTATATAATTAATTATTTATGAATAAATAATTATTTCTATGTATGAATTTATTAAAGTTGATTATACATCGTTATTAATAATCTAGATAAATATAAGGAATGCATTTTATTTCAGATATATTTTGTTTTACTTGATTACAATAAATGTATTTTTTATTTAAAAATGTTTTTCTGTTTCTACTAATAGATGACTGTATCTCATTTTCAATAAAATTGTTGTCCAAACCTAATTTTCATGATATAAATTATAAATTATGGCCTTATCAAGAAATACAATATTGCTATTGTAAATTATATTCAATGGAAATATGTTTACTATTATTATTCTGAAGGATAGGGGACCTTTCACTAGAGCCCATGTCATATTTCACAATTAAGTTGTGTTGTTTCCAAATTAATAGTTCTTTTTAAGATTGTAAAGTCTACAGGTACTTAGCCAGTGGGAGAGTTATTATGGAAGCTAAAAATGAATCTTTATTATCATAAGGAAATCAATACTTATGCATGAAATATAAATTAATCACTTATTTTAAAAAGGGTTTATTCGTTTTGAATAGTAATCGAGTCTATTCTTTAAAATGAAACTGAAAAGAAAAATTATTATGAAGTTATAAGCCCCCTCCAAAGTATCAAAATCCCTACTATATGTCTGTGAGGAATATTTCTTCCTACCTTCTTTCTTTCAGATGAGAGATTTTGAATCAACTTTGTGGATTATGTATAAACTTAAAAATGGTTGAGGTGTGTCAGATTAAACCGATATATGAAAGGAAACTTAGTTACCAGTCAATGACAAAACAATTATATAGAGAAGTGATTTAATTTCTTATCTGAACAGATTAAAGCTAGGTAATTTTCCAATGATAAATTTTCACTAATGATTTAATCTTGCATTTTAATCCTTATTTAATATACCTGACTCTAATGAACCATTAGGGTTAATTATCTAAAAAAAACTTTACATGGTTTTCTATTATTATTTTATTGCTCTCAAACTATTTGTTTAACTTCTGTATTTATAGTCATTTTAAATCTAAGATATTTCATATCCACATACTAACATGCTTGATATAATTGGTAAATCTTGTTTGCTGTAAAAAAAAAAAAAAATTGCTTTGTTCTAATTAAACATAGGTCACTCAATAATAATTTTGACTGTAATTTTAGCAGTATACTCGTCTCTGTGCAAAACTCTTTTCCATATTGCTTCTTAGCACTTACCACCTAAAACATAAATAAAGCAACATAATAAAGTTAATGTTTTATTCATTATTATTGGTTGGTAAATAAACACAATTTAGTTTCAGTAACCCTAACTAATTGTTGCAGGAGGGTGTTCCAATTACTGAAAACTCTATCCCTCTTCCTTCTCTCAGTTTTCTTTATTGTTTCTTTTGGCCAGTTCCCGTTATTGAAAAATTCTGACTAAAGTTTTTATTTAGTTACTGAGGAAGTACTGTATTGTACTTCAGTAGGTCCTAGACCAATGGATAACAAGTAATTAATGAAGGAAGGTCAACATTATAAAATAATAAGAATCTTTTGGATGCAGATATATATATATATATCCACCATTTAAAAAGGATGAACAAGAGATAATGCTATTTGATCCTCATTGACATCTTAAATACAAGTTAAATGAAACTAACTAAAATAAAAAATATACTGTGACATTAACTAAATTTTAATGTTATACCATCAAATATTTAAACTCACCCATATTGCTCTAAGATAATTGTATATAAGTTTGTTTTTCAATAATTTAATTTGAATATTCGCATTCAGAAAAGAAAAAAAATAATATTTTGCTATGTTAAGTATTTTTAGTTAAATTTGAATTTTTTGTTCTACTATTATCAACCTAAACTGAGTATGTTATCATTAGATGGAATGCTAATGTAAGTCCTGCAAATGAAAGTAAGATTTTATCTCAAATATTTTGAGTACTAAAATAAAATATATATTCAGATATTTCAAAAATATTCAGATTTCAAAGTTCAGAAAATTGAAATGATCAAATTTTTTTTGTTTTCCCTATAAATAAATTAAAATTATACAATTTTTTATGGTTAATCAATAATGTTTTAAAATGTTGCTTGTTGACATTTTTTCGTTTTCCAGTTTTTGTTAGGAAACAGTCATGCCTTAAAAAAAGAAAGAAGAGTATGGATTATATTTTATACAGACAACTTTAAAGATCTAATTTTCTGGTTAAAAATATTATTATTTGTTACTAATTTGTAAAAAAATATATATATTACAATGTTACATTGGAATAAAAATAAAGTTTTAAAGTTCTTTAATGTTTCAGTATTTATTTTTCTTAATCCATCATCAATATTATGAGAAAAAAAGGTGGGAGTATTTATGAATTCTAACACACATAGGCTAAAAAATCTGAAAACAAGAACTTTAGTTGAAAAGGAACTGTTAAACATCAACACAAAAGGGATTGTTTTTAGTTTAACAATATGTGTACTGCAACAAAAAAAAAAATCAAATTTTTGCAATTCTCACTCAGTTTGATGGTATATTATTAAGAGTCTCATTCAGAATTGAATAACCTGGAAGTCAGGGAATTTTTTTAATCTGGAAAAATCAGAGAATTTCACAAGGCGACATGAGCACAGCAAAGTATTCACGTCCGGACAATTAGTCTATGAGCCCCCTGGATAACCCGTAAACACGGTAAGTAAACGATCACATTTATACCCAATATACAAAGCAAAACATGCCCAGGCCCTATCAAAAACGGCCAAATGCTCGAAAGCTTTCTAAAGACTTAGGCAAGGCTCAACTCAAAGCTATCTTTTGGAACACAGGCGGTTTAACCAAAGATAAATTCAATGAATTGAAACGAATAGTGACAGAAAGTGATGTAGACTTATGCGCTATTGTCGAAGCAGGAGTGGCAACTGAAAAACCTGATATACACCGAATTCATGGATACCAAACATATTTCATCCCAAGAGCAAGACAAGTTGCATCTGGTATTATGCTGGCTGTTAAGGAATCCATCGTTGCGGATATGAAAATTAGGAAACAGCAAGATGCAAATGATAAATCCGAGGCTCTGGAAGCAAATTTGTGGTATGGCAAGTGGCACTTCCGAATATTCGTAATATATAGCCCTCCTCAAAACAGACCGGACCTCACATGGTTGGAAAGGAACTGTAATGGACAGAGTATACTATATGGAGACCTGAATGCCCCTTCCACTATATGGGGATATAATAACACTGATACTGTAGGCAGAATATTTGAAGATTTCCTTAACTCAAACCCTGCACAATATATTCGAAATGAAACAAAACTTCCTACCTTTCAACCTTTCACTGGCAGTACTTCCTGCCCTGATGTTGTATTGGCGCACACGTCAATCTCTGATAACATAAAGCATACCATACTACCAGCTATAGCAGGTTTCAGGCACAATATCCTTGTGGTTAACTTGAACCTGAATCAAAATAATAATAGTAAGACCAAGGAACCACAACTGCCACGATGGAATTTAAAGAAAGGAGACTGGAAGCTTTTCAGGAAATTGACAGATGAACTCATCACTGATAAATTAATCATAAATGGTAATGTAGATAAAACATACACTAATATAAAATGAAATTTATATAGGTGTGCCCTGAAGACTATTCCCCGAGGAACAATACGAAAATGTCGTCCTTTCTGGAATGAAGAACTGCAAAAGTTAAAAGAAGAAAGAGATGATTATAGAAAAAGAGCTGAGAGCTCCAAAAATCGTGCAATGATAAGTTTACTTAAAAGGAAAACAGCTATATTTAAAAGAAAAGTTATTTCAGCTAAACAAAACTCATTTAGAACGTTCCTAAAGAAAATGGACTTTAGAAAAGATGGAGTTAAGGCACATGAATTTCTTTCAAAAATAAATAATAAATCAAACTTAGCAAATCATCCAATAACATTCGATGGGAAAACAATAAGCAAGCTAAAATAAATAGCCAACTCCTTCTGCAAACACTACTCAAAAGTAGGCAATTACAAGCTAAAAAAAAGAAAACGGAAATCCAACCACAAACTGCACACTGTTCTGGGGAGATATCCAAACGCAAGAACTAAATGATGCTCTTACTAAATCTAAGAAAGGTAAAACCGCAGGCCCGGATGACATACTGTCGGAATTACACCTGGAGGATATGGCCAAAGAAATAGTACTAAAATTTTTAAATGCTGTCTGGAAAATACATATTCTGTGTGAATGGAGGAAAGCAGAAGTGGTACCAATCTTGAAGAAAGGAAAAAAAGGAGATATACCGGAAAATTTCAGACCCATTGCGTTAACAAGTACTTTCTCCAAGCTCTACGAGAGAATCATTGCAGAAAGACTTCAGAAATACATAGAAAAATATGATCTAAAATATCTTCTAACCAAGCTGGTTTCAAGAAAAATCGAAACACTATTGAACAAGTAGCTCGTCTAACTACTAACTAAATAAACAGCTTCCAATGAAAACAGAGCACCCTGGCAATATTCGTAGATTTTAAGACAGCATCTATGATAAGAGTTTGGATAAAGAAGCTGGTGAGTAAGCTTGTTGACAAGGGAGTCACAGGATATCTGCTCAAGACTATATCTTCTTTCTTACATCAAAGGCTTATAAGGGTGCGATATAAAAACATTGTCTCGACATATCGCCAAACAAAACAAGGGCTCCCACAAGGTTCGGTGCTGAGTCCCTTCCTGTTTAACATCATGATTGATGATATCACGGAACTCACTGAAACTATTCCGGGTACAAATGCTCTGCTGTACGCAGATGACCTCGTCATTTGTGCAACAAGTAGTGACTTTAAAGGGCTAGAAAAACACATGCAACAGGTACTGAAATTACTAGAGAAGTGGGCCAATGAAAACGAGATGATGGGTAATTCCGAAAAGACGGAATTCCAACTTTTTACCCTCTCTACCATATCACACGAGATAATTTTGAACCATAATAATGAGGAGCTCAAACACACAGAAGAAGCTACATATCTTGGAGTGAAACTCGATAAAAGACTCTCTTGGAATAAACATATTGAAAAACAAATAGAACAGGCTTCAACACGACTATCGTTAATATAGAGGTTGGGTTGCTCAAAATGGGGAGCAACGGGGGATGTTATGGCTCTTGCCTACAAAACTTATGTCCGCCCTGTTATTGAGTATGGCGCAGAACTTGTTAGCACTGCTTCGGACGCGATATTACACAAGCTTGACATAATCCAGAATCAAGCCTTTAGACTCGTGACAGGAGGGAGCAGATCAACCCCAATATCTGCGCTAGAATTACAAACAGGCATAGTACCTCTTGAAACACACCGGGAGCAACTGGCCATTACGCTCTATGAAAGGCTAAAACGTCTTAAGATCAGCTACTGGAGTACCTATGAACCCGCACCTGAACGCCTTAAAACACAAATTACTTTTACAAAGGCAGTGGAAGGTTTGGTACAAAGAAAAGGACTAGAATTAGCTGAAAGGGAACCTCTCCCGTCGTTGACGCAAGTTCCATTCACCAGCCAATTCATTGTTCACTATGATCTTCTTCAGAATGTTTCTAAGGATTCAATACCAATTTACCAACAAAAGGCTATAACCCTATAAACCATCGGAAAACGATTCCTAGAGACAGAATGTATATACTGGTGGTTCTGCACTGGAAGCACGCAAACATGCCGGAGCTGGAGTTTATTCAAAGGAATTTCAAATTGCCGCCCCGGTTGGAAAGGTAGCCACAAACTTTGAAAGGGAAGTGAAAGCCATTCTCTTAGACCTTGAGATTAATTGAACGGAAAGACAAGAAAGTTGCTTTCTTTGTTGACTCACAGGCAGCCATTTTGTCTCTCCAAAATGGATATAATACAAATCCAAATGTACCTAAATGCCATCTATAATTGAACCGATTAAAGGAAAATGGGACAGAAGTTGCTTTCCATTGGAAACCAGGCCATTGCGGGCTCCACAGAAATGATGAAGCTGACAAACTGGAATAGGTTCTGGAATGATCCAACCAGATATTCCTCTAGGCATGGATTAAATGAAAAGAATTATAAAACAGGCCCTCCAAAGTTCACTGAAGGAGAAATATGTGCAAACAATTGAAGGGATGCGATGGAGTGGATTGCTCAAAGAAAGTGGCAGGATCCCTAGAGGGCAAGTCGTGAAATGCTTTAGAATGCTCACAGGCCATGATTTCCTTCAGAAGCACCTCCACCGCATCGGTATAAAAGACAGCCCGCCATGCCCTCTATGTTCCCTAGATATGATGACAGAAGAACATCTTGATACATGCCCTGCATTACAGGATATAAGATGTTCCTTTAATGAAATGGACAGCCCTTATGCTAGGAGAGAAAAATTATATTGGACTGCAAGAGCACGGGCTGATGAAGCAGGCGTTACTTAGGCGTAGGAAAAAAAAAAAATTGGGAAATTTTTGTTGTAATCTATTCTAAATGTTTGATCTGTTACCAGAATAATTGTCTGCTGAGACATTCAATGTCAATGTGAACATATATCAATTCATATTTTTAAAAAAATCTTTTTAGATTCAATTTGCCATTTGTGCTATTTTCTCACTGGTTTAAGATAGTCTCAACAGAATCAGAAATTTTTAAGTGATGCTATATTCTACTACTGTTACGCTATATTTGTAATTTTATTTATTTATTTTATTATGTTTTAGTTTATAACTTTTAACATCCTTGGAATTTCATCTTTTTAGATTCAATTTGTCTCAAACGCAGTTTCAGAGATCATTTATTACATTGAAATGTCTTTAGAATATAATATAATTTTATTTTAACTCGAAAAATGGAAAATATCAAAGTTATAGTCATGGGCAATAGTTTCTTTAATTAGGAGCTTATAATGAATATCTATTTATAACTTTTTCCATAGGATAGATTTTTTCTTTCTTTCTATTAAATGGAGTATCCTGTGGCACATCTAGTCACTATAATGTGGATACTCTTAATTAAATATTTAATTAAGGGTGTAAATCTTGCAGCTGAGAGTCATTCCAGCCCAATCATCTCCCCGCACAGGCGGATCTACAGGGGGGGGGCTTTCGGGCTGAAGCCCTCCCCCAAAATGGTAAAATGTAACCATGCTTTACAGAAAAAATATTAAAAACTATTTCTTAAAGTATTCTTGTTCGTGTAATTATATTTAATAGGACTTCAAGAACCACTTAAACACCATTTCATTTAGGTAATTAATTTCTTTTTTTTTTTTTTCAAATTAATTATCGTTATATGTATATGAAAAAAACATCTTTTGGGCTGAAGCCCTCCCAAAATTAAATCCTGGATCCGCTAGTGTCTCCCCATACAACTGTTGGCCTTGAAACAGTACTTCCTTACAAAGTACTGAACTTAAGACCCTTCATGAGTCGTAGTAGTACATACCTTTTTATGAAATCTTGAGCCCCAAAATGAACGAAATATTTTTTGAACTATTTAAATTCTGTTATAACTTATATTTTGTATTTTACAAATAAATTAATATAGTTCAAATAAAATGTGATTGTTGTATTAACTGAGATTAGTATGAGATTAGTATTAACAAAAGCTTACATTTTTTAAAATCAATAATATATTTTTAGTCATATACAATGAGGTACATATTAAAACATTTATTACAAGAAAGAATAGCTGATAAAAAAATATTTTAGTGTTGAGATATATATTTATTAAATGAATCGAGAAATGACATTTATACATTTGTATTATTCATACTTTTAATTGTAAACAAAAACTTTTATATTTGTGTCTATGTTTTGTGCATAGATATGAATATAAAATTCACATATTTAAACACAGTTTTTTTTTATTTCTTTAATTCTTATTACAATTTCTGAGATCTGAGCATCTTATGCTTTTTCCTTTTGCATTCATTTGAAATTAAGGCATATAATCCTTCATGTGCTGGTATTTTTCTGGAATAAAATATCCCATTCAACGGCAATGAATAATGATTTTGTTATTCATTAGAAACAAATGTACAGAAATAACCTGAATTTATTCTTTATTCTTCTTCTTCCTCCTCTTCCTCTTCTTCTTCTTCTTCTTCTTCTTCTTCTTCTGCCTCTTCTTCTTCCTCTTCTTCTTCCTCTGCCTCTTCCTCTGCCTCTTCTTCTTCAGCATAGACTGGTTCTACATCATCATCGGTTGGTTTAACTTCTTCCTCTTCAGGGCTTTCAGGAGCATCCTTCTTTTTGCCAGGTCTCTCACCAAACCATTTGGGCAATTTAGCTGAAAAACAATCATTATAGATTTATATATCTTTTTAAAATTATTTATACACTGTAATCATTGAATCTATATTTACTTAGTCGGTATCAGTGATTATTTAAGAAATAAATTTAAATGTTATTTTATAATAAATTAGATGTTTTATAACTGAATAAAAAGTAGGTTTCTTGAAAGTTTTTTTTTTTTTTTTGTATAAATTATGATACTATATAATAAAATATATCCATATTTTAATTTAATTGTGCAAAAATCTAAACTTATGTTGATTTTTTTTTATGTAATAAAATAAAGAACCATTAATAAATTTCTATTTTCTATATTCTATTAATAAAATACAGCTACTCAGAATAGAAAAATTTAGAATAGAATTCTAAGTCATAATAGTTTTCTACAACCCTAAGATTTTTGGCTGGGGGTTAGGTTCATGAAAGGTCTATCTTGATGAAGAATATTTAGGTCATAGGTGGTCCTGCTTACTCTAAATAGCTTTAAGCTACTATTTATAGAAAACGTTTATGTAGCCTTCCATGGATAACTGCAAATTGAAATTTGTGTACATATAAAACATATATCTGTATACAAATTTATCATGAAATAGGTCAATTTGGCAATTTTAAACTTCCTTAAAATATTCTTCATCTTACTATGTACCTAAGTATAGATAGTAAAAGTACATACAAATTTGATGTTGAAAAAATAACTAGATATAATTCAAGAAAACTATTTGATAGTCAATAATTCCTGACTATGGAAATTAAAAATAAAAATACAGGTAAAATTGATGTTTGTACAAAAAAAAGTTCTGATTTAAATATTCCCAAAAGATCAATATTAAAGTATTACTATGAAGAAATAAAATATTCAAAGGAAGGTTAAAATTTCTAAATTGACCTGTAAAATTGAAACTGACCAATAAAATTAAACCAAGAAGAAATCATAATATAAGTTAGATATAAGTTATGCAAATAAAAAATTGTTTAATCAAAGAAAGAACTGCTCAGTGTTGACTAGTCACAGACTTATTATTCCTGTTGTAAAACAGTGATTAATTATATCTAGCAAATTATAAGTAATACTTATTATGAATATAAAAATACTTAAATTTTGCCATGTGATATTTGCATCTTTACTTCTGATAATGTTTTGAACTTTCAGTCATTTCAAACTCTGCTAGGGTAATACTTCTATTTCAGCTGTGACTTTATTTGTAAGCTCACTAGTATGACAACTTAGTGCCAATAAAACTATGTGATTGTGTTAATTTTATATCACCTTGTAGGTATTGTTTTTTTCAATTAAGAAATAATTATTTATTATTTTTAGAAACTGGTGCATTTTAAAAATAAAAAAAGATTTCTGCATGCAACACTAAATCTTTAATATGAAAACTATGCATGCTCATATCTCACATGCTAGGTTTATTTACATTTTTTTTTGTCATTTTTGTTCTTTACTCTCTTTACCTTTACCTTAAAGAGAAGAACACTTTTATTTTGTATACATTGTTTAAAGATTCATATCGTTAATTATTTCAGAAACAATGCTAATTACAAATAGAACCAAAATTGGGTATCATTAAACTTATTTCTTCCTTCCCATAAATTTTATTTAGTAAAATAGTTAATATAAGCATTTTTAGTCAAATCTGATACCAGTTAATGTTTTTTAAATATCAATAATTTTATTTTAAGACAAAAATGTATTATATGAATAATATTTGTAAGCTATATTAACATGTTTGAAAAAAGGTATATAAAATGGGTTTTTTGGAATAATGTCTTTTCTTCCTATCAATGTTACCAATAATTCATGTCTTTTTAGGACTATGATGTGCTACCTATGTTATTAGTTATACTATTAAATGAATATTATTGTCTTAAAAGTATTAGCTTGGTAAAGGATGCTATCCCTTTATCTACAGGGACTAGGCAATTTATCTGTATATTAGCAGTTATTATGAATGGAATAGAGGATCTTAGTATTTTTATTAAATAAGAAGTGTGGAAAATGATGTGTTAGATAAGGATCAGTTGTTAGAGATCAGAAGGAGCATAAACTCATTGAAAATGTTTAAAGGAGAAAGAAGTTCTCAATATCACTTAAGCTAAGAGGAAATGTCAAACACTCCTTGAGATCTAATATTTTCCATTAAATATTTAAAGACCATTTGCCTGAAGGCTAGTAAAAAATGTCTCTCAGCCAATTGGGACTTTTATTGCTAATGACTGTTCTGAGTTACTCAAATACTACTAATAATGGTAGGCATCAATTGGAGGGTTGTAAATGACTATGGCACTACCAATGAATCATCAATGACAGTAGTAAACCTATATTAAAATATTTCTTGGTAAATGAAATTTTTATTGCAAATATTCTCAAGCCTCTCAAAGATATTCTTTTCAATACTGTAAGAGTTATGAATTTATTATCCCCAGTTTTAAAAATACAGAAAACACTATTGAAATTACCTAGTAGATCACAATTGGGTAGAAATAATACGCTCAGGAAGAATAAATAAAAAAAGAAAATTGTAGGTTTCTACAAAAAGGATCATAAATGAGAAAATAAAATGGGTTATTCAATTAAAGGTGATGGTTGACATTTGATGAAGGAGCAGTCTCAGGTCCCTTATTTTCATAACATGTTTTAATACTTAAACACATAGCTCGTAAATGTTAATTCAATAGTGTGGAAATGCCAATTAGGATACTTGAATGTGGTGAGCCCTGTGAATATCAAGATTCTAGCATTTTAGTTATCTTCAGTAAAGAGCTTATTTTTTTTATTAAAATTTTAGACAATTAAATTTGCTCATAAATAAAAGTATAATAATGATTATAAATTCTCAGAGAATACAATAGAAAACTTGCATGGTTTAAGTTGAATCAATTCAAACCTAATGCAGTTTTTGAGGCTTTTATTGAAAATTTGGAAGAGGTAAAGTCAGAAATTACATTTTAAGATTATATTCTTTTGTAATTACATAGCTTCATTCCAATGTATTGTACTAAATCAGCTAAAACCACTTATGAGATAAAAGTAAAGAAAGCAGGAGAAGAACATGAGAACGATGAGGAGGGTTGTATTTTTATTAAGAGTAGCAATTCATGTATCTGTCACTCAGTGGTAGTAGTAATTTTTTAAAAAATCTTTAAGTACTTAATGCTAAACTGTGCAGACCTAAACAGCATGAACCTATGGTATTAAATATTTGCAAATAAATATTGGGTCTATAAAAGTATTAAAAAAAATAAATTTATTTTCTAATTCTTAATTTGGCTCATATTTAGAGGATAAAGAAGGTTTTGAACCAATGATAACCAAGTATTTGAGATGATGCTGAGGAAGTGTCAGAAGAAAAGTGTAGGGAAATTAATTTCCATTACTTGGGAGAGAGGCAAAATGTGAAATTAAATCATAGTAACTCAACTATAATTTGTTTTTTATTTATCACAAATGTGCTATCTTAATTCTTTCTTCCTTATCGTGAAAAAGTAATTTTACTCCCCTTAAAACCTGTTTATTCCCCAAGCTTGATTTTTATTTCTTCTATTGTAGTTATATTTAGTCTGAGACAATTAATTTTTTGTGTAGCTTGTAATCTACCCATATATATTATAATATATTTATTATATTGATCGTTAAGGGGACCTTACACGATTATCCGTGAATGAAAGTTACTATAATGACAAATATTGTTCGGGTTCGCTTTGATCATGATTAACCAACCCTACACATTCAATCATTAGTGATCATTTTAGCTCAGTTGACATTATGATAACAGACAGCATGGATCTGGTGGATTGTCCACTTATAATACTGTGTTTAATTTAAAAAGCTTATTTATACATTGTCCTTTATAGTATTGGACATCAAGAGAAAAAGGGAAATATAATAATTACTTCTTAGTTTGTGAAAATCGTTTAGACCAAAGTTAGAAAAAGATAAGTCAACTACTTACAAAAATTTAGAAAAAGTATTGCGAAAATAATCAATTTGTTAAGAAAAATGGAAAAATTAATGAAAAATAAACACAACAGTTCAAGATTTTTTTTCTATAAGTAAATTGTGAAGTTTCACCTTTTTTTTTAAATTTGTTGCCCACTTGACTATTTTAAAAAATAGTTGAAGATGGTTTATAAGATATAAACAAAGGATATGAAAAACTATTGAACTATTTACTTTTAACGAAAATCAGGAATTTATAATGGTTGTGAGGTCTAGGTAAACTGACGTATGTAGTAGTATGGTTAGTCTCCCCACTACTTTTACCTCAGTCTCACCTCCACTTCTTGTGAATGAACCTTTGATTGCCGGATTTTCGGAAATCTGTCAGACACATCCATCAGTACTTCATTCACTACCTTACACAATCATTCAGAACGTCAATAGTGCCTCGGAATGCAATTCCAAATGACCGTGTAAGGTTCGCTTTAAAAGCAGAAGAACCATTATATGTCCAAAACAACTTTTTTTTCAGTATGAGCTTGAGAAGTCTGAAAGCTGCAAGTTCTGTATATTTAAAAGTTGTGAATTTAATTTTTTTTAACCCACTAAGTTGGGTATTAATGTTTGGAATTGTGTCTAGTCTTTGTAAATTTGTATGTATTCTAAGATTAGTTTTATATTTTTTTTTGACATTTGCCCTAATTCACAAAATTGAAATTTTAAATAAAAATTTTTTTTCCCATATGAGAACATGATTTATTTGTTCACTCCCAAGGGACTTCTTTACACTGAAAAAAATTAAATTAATGAAAAAGTGGAGATATTTTGATAAATTATATCAATAAACTTTAGTGAGAAAGTTTGTTTAAGTGAACAATTTGTATTGTTTTATATGGTTAAGCTATTTTTAAAAATGTCATGGTCTCCAGTTTTGGACTGGTGAATTAAAATTTTATATGAGGTTTTTCTACTTACTTTGTGGACGACTGCCAAACTGATCACTTTTTTCCATCCATTGTTTTTCAAGAATCTCCTTGTTCTGCTCCATCAAGCCCTGTGTAACATGCTTAAAAACTCACAAACTTTTCTCTAGACTAGTGGACTTTCATCCAAAAAAAACATAGCACAATTTTTAAAAAATAAAAAAATATTGTACATGTACATAAATTTGACGTTTTATACACGAGGGTTGGGGTTGTAGGCAAACCATCTAAGAGGAAAAAAAAACAAACTATGCTGAAGTACACAGTCTTAGTTGCACTTCAAAGGGATCATTCCTCGGGCAAATGGGTTTGCATTCCTACCAGCAACTTACCATGTTTTCGCTTAGTAAATTGTTCATATCTCGACTTCCATATTTTTTCTAATTCTTCAGCAGTCAAGGTTTCCCAACCCTAGTACACCATGATATAGTGTTTATAAAAATATTTCATGTGCATGCACTTAGTACTATTTTAAGAGATCTCCCTTCTACACACACACACACGCATATATATATTTATTTGAAAATTATTTTTTCATCGACACTTAAATATTATATTGTGAAATAATTATTATTTTCGGGTATTAGGTTATTTAATTTACAATTTAATGAGCTACATAAATTTTGGAGTTTATTCTCTTTATTTGATAACGTTTGAATCCCTTCTTTTCTTACACATAACATGGGATCCTCTTCAATTCTTCTTATCGAGCTTTGATACTCCAAGCCAGGGGCACATTGACAGCCTCAGTAGTGCCCTCCATTAAGTTGGGGCAGTTTGGAGTATCAAAGCTCGATAAGAAGTTCTGAAGAGGATCCCATTCTATGTGTTAGAAAAGAAGGGATGGAATTGTTATTAAATAAAGAGAATAAATTCCAAAATTTATATAGTTTATTAAATTGTGAATTAAATGACCTAATACCTGAAAAGTATAATTACTTCGCAATATATATAAATAATTGTATGTTTTTTTTACAACTTGAACTATATATGAGTATATAGTAAACTGTTAACCATATTTCAAAAATGAAAATTGGACATCAAGTCAATATTTTGCCATTTGCATATATTTTTTCACAGCAGCTTTAAGAACATATATTTACAATAATTTTCATTCACACGTGGTCGGAATCAAGGGTAAATCCTCAAATTAGAATCACCTATACCAGTCAATGATTCTTTGAAAATTAAATACTGAAAATTGTTTATGAATTTGTAATTTAAAGTTGTATAGGTTATTAAAACCTTAAAGAAAATTATAGTGAAACGATTAGAAATTAATGCTTACAAATATAATTATCATCATGTGATAGCTTGTTGGGAAAGGAATCATATAATTTTTATTTTTCTGCTATGGATTTAACCTTTAAGATTCTTCATAAAATACATTCCCCATCAAAAAATTGCAGCATTTAGGAATCTTAGATTTTTTTTCTAGTTTTAGAGCTTAAATCATATTTTGTTTGTAGTAATGAGATTAATTATAAGAAATAATTTAGAGATTAGTTCAGCATAGTATTACTACCCACTATTTGTCAATAAAAGAAGGATTAAATATTTTACTTAATAAATTTCAGTTCCTTCTTCTGTCTGATTATACATTTTGTTTGCTCCTTACTTCAAATTCTTTTTTCTTTTTTAGTCTGTGTTTTATAAGTGTGATAATGAGTCATTTAAGACATGGTGATACTGTAAATATATATAGAGAGAACAGCCACAAAGAAGAATAATCTATATGTTAATTTCATAATAATTTAGGCTTTGATTGCTCTCTAGTTTCAAGGGCCATGAAAAAAAAAAAAAAAAATCAGGAAGACTAACAGTTCTAAAGAGAAATTCAGGACTTCTAAAAGTCAGGAATCTCATTTACGACCACTTTATTCAAATTCAAGTACGCAGGAAACGTATTTCAACTGCTCCTGACATTAGAAACTATGCTGCTGGTATTTAGGGTAGGTATTCTTAAAATGAGAGTCAAATTTTATCTCAATAAGGCCTGTGAAACTGTCTTAACTTATTGAATAACATTATTGACATATACTAAGATTCAAAAGAAAACACCAATCTCATACAGAGAATTTAATGATTGAAAAAATCATTTAGTGCCTTATATACTTATAAGTATTATCATCGTCTAGTGACATAGGACAACATGTATTTCTAATTATAAGGATACATGAGGTATCCATAACCTTGAACATCCAGCATGAAGTCAGAAACTTAATTCAGTCGAGCATACTGAACTTAAAAAAAAAAAATATTTTGATCACTGATATCTCCTACTATGTTTAAAGTGCTTAAGAAGGATGTATTGGAAGGGAAAGAGACAATGTACCCCAAGATTTTATAAAAAATGTTCTATGAGTATGCCAAAAATAGTGGAGGCAGTCTTCAGTATTTATAAATACTGAAGAAGGTGTAATTTTGATGAAATGCCTCTATGAACCTATAAAATTTAAACTTCGTTAAAAGATTGATTTTTATTTTATTTAAAGAAACTTCTTACCTTAATCTAACAGTTTTAATTTTAAAATTATGTTTATTTTAAATTAATCAGCCTTTTTGCAAATATTAAGCTTGCTTTTTTCCTGATATTCAAAAATATAGGAGCTGCAATTCTTTTAATGGGGAGTGTAATTAATTTTACCTCTTGCCTATAAGTTTTATGAAAAATAATTTTAATTACAGTATTTAAGCAGTACTTCTTCAGAGGTTTATACCATAAGTAAATCAATTCATTTAATTTAGATCTTTATATCATGATAAAAATGTAAATTTTGTGAACTTAATTAATGACAAGTTAAGTATGCATATTATGTCAATCATTTTATGACCAAATCTCTAATGTCAATATTTATGTATATTATTTATTAACATCAATATTTATTTATATTTTTAACCATTTCCTAAGAATGAACAAAACTTTTCAAGTTCTGTTCTTATTTTTAAAATTACAATACAATATGGATTAGATTTAAACATGTTTTTATTTCTATTGTACAGATTTTTCCTTATAAAAACCTGAACTTATTGGATTTTTTCCATTAATATTATTTTAAGAATTATTTCATATTTTATTTTCATTGTTGCAAATAATTTGGACTGAACTATTTATGCTTAAACAAAATACTGTGATTCCAACAAAATATGGAAACAACTAATTAAAAGTTATAATTCTATAGGATATTGGAAAAGTACTTACGCCTTCAAAAAGTTTTTTCTTGTCATCATATGACCTTGTGTCAACTCTACGTTCATATTTAGATGCAACCTGAATTTTGGGCTATGAAACAATGAAAATTAAATAAATAAATTGGTTCTTCTTATTTGTTATAAATTAATTGTGAAGTATTATTCAACTTACTGGATATTTGCCAGTCAAAGCCCTAAAAATAACAGTTATGGTTAATTTGAGATATTATTAATGATGTCTAGACTAAGTTTAAATTACTTTTTGTCTTACTCTGGGTCTAAACCTTTCTTCAGTGCTTTATGCCTCAGTTGCTGCTTTTGTCTCTCCTTCAGTTCTTTAAGCTAATAGAAAGAAACATGAATTATAACTATAAGTTTCTTCAGCCAGCCTATAATATATTCTATTTCTGTCAATACTTACATCATAATCTTGACGTTTTTGTCTTTCCTCAAGATCATATTTCTCAGTTTCCAGTTTAACAATGCAATCCCAGAGTTCAATAGCTTTTAATCGTAATCTGTCAATGTTAAGATTTTCAATACTTAATGGTTTAATCCTTATGCTAAGGGAAATACGCTTTTCTTCTTCTAATTGTTCCTTTGTTTTGTTCCTTTCTATTTGTGCTGAAGACAAGTTTAGCTAAACATAAATGATTGATTATACTTCAAATTTAAAGACTTTTAGCCTCAATCAGTATATTTCATGTAATTCAACTTACACCAGCTTCCTTTTTGCTGATTGTGAAGTTTGGACCCTTGCTTTTACTTTGATCCTGTAAGTTCATGTGACATATTAAAATAAGTAGGTGTTTTAACAAGATTTGAATAAGTCTACCTATAATATATTTTAAAGTTTTTACCTTAAGAGCTGCCATCATAGCCTGTCGTTTTTTTTCTGCTTCCTCAAGTCTACGCCTCTTTTCTTCAATATCTCTCTGTTTCTTTTCTTCAGCTTCTCTGACTCGCCTTTCTTCCTCTTGCTTTTTCTTTTCAGCGAGCCTCTTTTCTTCTTCAGCTCTCATGACCTATTAATTATAATATAATATATATGCGGGAAATTAATTTAAAAAAAAAAAATACATTTTTAAAGATTATAATTAATGATAAATTTATACCAATGATCTATAATATTAGAAAAAAAAATGGAAAAAATAGTAAATTGAACACTCCATAAGTTTTATATTTCCATTTTCTTTTAACCAGTTGATTAAAAATTATGTAATTTTTTACTTTAAAAAAATAGTTTACAGAGATGAAGAAGAAGAAGAATGAAATCTTTAAATCACAAAATATATGTTTAGTATAATTGAATTATTTAAGTTGATATATAATTTTATTTTGGTTTATTAATGATGGAAAGTTATTTATACTTTGTGTTTTTGCTTATTTTTGATTAATTTGATATAAATTAAGGATTATATCCATTAATGTGATATAGACTAATGATTGAAATTCATTAATTTGATGTAAATTAATGATTCAAATTCATTAATTAGAGGAAGATAAAATGTTTATCCATTTTAACGGATTTTTATTTACCTTTCTCTTGGCTTGCTTTTCTTTGAGGCGCTTCAGGTCCTCTTCCTCTTTCGCTCTTTGTTTTCTCCATTCTGCGATGTAGTCCTTGAGTTGTTCATCCAAAGCTGATGTTTTAGCTTCCTGGCGCTGTGAGAAACAAATAGGCATTATTTATGTTAGAATTTATTGAAACAATCTAATTGTATAATAACTGAACTCATGTATGTATGTAAGTTTTTAATTTGAAATTTAAGCTTTGTTTATATATAATTAAATTTTTTTATTTAATATAACATTTACTAAAAATTTTTAGTTTCTGTTTTCTCAACTGTTAAGAATATATGTTTTCTGAGGATTGAAGTTGTCAATAAAGGCACAACTATGTTTGAATGATGCACAGGGGTAAAATGACTAATTTTATTAGACAAAAGTCAGTCTACTATTGAGGATTTTTTTTTTAATTATAAGGCATATACACTTACTATAGGGTTGTCGGGAAAGTTCGTAGGGATTTAAAAAAAAAGTTTTCTTTTTATTCTTTCAATTCATAATGAACTACAAAGCTTAAGTTTGTTTGTATATTTTTAATTCCCAATATATTATCTGTGTTAACATCCCTGATCTGTCTTTATCAAGGCCTAGAGTTTGTTAAAACCGAACATGAGGGATAACAAATTCTATTTTCATCATATTATGCTTTTCATTTTTTAAATAGGAAAACATGTGGCCCAAATGTATATATAAGATTCGTACTGTGTATGGTGACGATTCAGTTGCTGACAGTACGTTGGGACGTGGATCCCAGAGATAGATTCTGATCGTTGCGGGTTCAATTCCTAACAGGGCCAGTTAATATTTATTTTTCGACGGACCTGGCAGGTGAATCTTGACACACCCAATGTGGTGAGTACGCGGCACCAACCTCAAGGTGACCACCAGAGCTTGGCAAAGAGAAACACAAGACCCACTTGTCGGACTAATCCCTAGCAGTACCAGCACTATTACCGTTCAGAAGTGGTTTAAGCGATATAGGTCTGCAAATTTAGATCGACCGACCTCAGTCCGGTGGGAGCTTAACAATGGATATCACGGTTTACTTACTTACTCCTCGGCGCTATAGTCCGCGTGGGACCTTGGCCTTTTCAACAACACGTCGCCACTTGTCCCAGTCCAATGCGACAGCCCTCCACCGCCTGACACCAAGCAGTCTCAAATCCGCCTCAACATTCTTCAGCCAACGGAGTGGTGGCCTTCCTCTCCTTCTTGCTCCTCCAGGTCACCCATATAATATTTTCCACGGTACTCGTCCTGCTGCCATCCTTTCCACATGCTCTAACCATCTTATTCGTCCTGCCTTAATGACACTTACGAGATCTGCGTCCCTGTAGAGTTGTCTCAACTCCCAATTGTATCGGGACCTCCAAACGCCTTCTTCGCATACAGGCCCGTAAATCCTCCTAAGAATCTTACTCCCACACTCCAAGAGCTCTCTCATGTTTTGCTGAGTGGATGAACTACCATGCTCATGTTATATGGCAATTTAGAAAAAATTGAGATGTTTGTATGGATAAATATTTCAAATACTCCTTTGTACATAGCACAAATTGTTTAATTTTTTTAAACTTTAAACTGTTGTCATTTTCAGAAGATGAAAATTAAGTGATCCAGTCTAAAATAGCAATACAAAATTATTAAATTAAACTTTTCTCAAAGTTATATGTTTTTTTTTCCACTTTGCTCTTCCATTGTTTACTTTAATAGGCATAAAAACATAAATAATTTTAAACACTCTGTTTACTTAGACTGTTAAGTTATAGATTAACAAGTGTCAAAATTAATCATACACTTTGTCTTTTCTTAATTTCTGTGCCACTTTTCATCACTTTTATGTTGTTTTTTGTTCTGAAGTTATTTCAGACCATTGCAAGACAATGATTATCAGAAAAAAATTATATTTTTATTGGTTGCAATACATTTTCTTGCTTGTAAGCATCCATATTTTACATAAGTTGCACTCTTTCTTAAATAAGAACAAACGGGAAGGAAAATTTAATGTAGTTTCTAAATACAAACTTGTTTTCCCTCTCAATATGATAAGTATGTAATTATTGTTCTAATTACTATCTTGCTATAGCATAGGTTAATTTCCCAATAATAAAAGTGTAAAAATGATGAAAAGGCTTGATGATCTGTTCATGGTATATCAAAATTCCCATCCAAATCAACACTACTAGTTTTAGGTAGGGTTATTTGCCAGATAATAACTTGTTTCACTATTATTTACAGAAAACATAATTCTAAGGACGGTTTTTTAAAAAAAAAAATTTTTAATGAAAAATGGATGAATGGCAAAACGAGTTATAAAGATTTTTAATTAATTTTAAGTTTTAGTTGGTGTTTATTAATTTTATATTTCATTAATTGTGTTTCTTGTGAAGATCTCCCTTATAACATATTCAAACTTAATTTAAAAAATTTTAAACATTTTTTTTCGACCTTTCGACTCCAAAAATATTTAAAATGACCTAATAGGATTTATATTAACCTAAAATGGTAATTTTGTATGCTGTGCGATGTTTTGAGATTTTATTGTTTTCAAATACATGCTAAACAATGAAATAAAACAAGTTCTTAAAAAAATATCAGTACATATGTAGCTTGACATAAAGTAAAATTCATTTATCTAGATGTTTTATTCCATCTATGTTTCACCAAGCATGTATGTATATGAGTGGATGTGGTATACTTACTTTTACAAATTCTGGATCTCCATCGCCCCTAAAATGATGAAAAAAAAAATATAAATTCAATTTACATCAATTAAAATAATGATTATGAAGAATGCTGATCTAAATATTGACTAATTTCTCTGGTTATTCTTAGAATGCTTATTTTTAAAATAAATAAATGATTACAAATTAATAAAATAAATTTATGAATAATGTATAGATTATATGAATTCCAAAAATCCAAAAAAATAAATAAAAAGAAAAAATGTATGGTTCAAATGATGATTATTAGTTTTGTTTTATTTATGTAAATTAAAAGAGACATCCACGAAAAAAATAAATAAATAACGTGAAAAAAAATCAATACTATAACTGAGGAAAAAATCACAAAAACATGCATATTTGTGTTAAAAATTTGTTTATATTGATAATTTATTTTTTAAAAAACAACAAAAAACATGGATGATAAAACAGAGTATAGCAATATTGTGAACTAGCATTCATTATATTGAACATTATTTACCTTTATGTCTTTACATAAAATAGCACTGTTAATAAATAACATTCTACTGCAGGAGTCACCAATTCGGGTGAATCCAGTACTTATGGTAAAAAAAAAAATAAATAAATGAAATTCCGATGTTTTTTAATGCCCACAAAGCTACCCTATGTGTGACTTAATTATATGTGAAACAATATTTAAAAAATCATTTTTGTAAGTGATGTTTTTACCAATTCACTTCACTTCCTTTTTCAAATCATCCATGGTTGGTTTACGTACTTTTATCGTAGTAACGCCTATAAAATTTAATTCTTGAAAATTTGAACAATTTTTACAGTGGATAAAATAATTAAACTTTCAGAAATTGTTTAAGGCAAACATATCAAAACAGATACTTATTTATAAGGCTTCACTTTTTATCATTATGTATTTTATTGTATAAAAGTAAATTGCTTGTGACATTTACTTACCTGATTTTCATATAGAACAATTTACTTCTTAGAACAAAATTTCATTATTTTTTGTCAAAAATAAAATAGAAAAAAAATTTGAGATAATTTCATTATTTGTGACCTCAAGTTTAACTTCTAGATGAAGACATTTTTCACTCATAAAAATCAATTTAGAACGTTTTCATTACTCCTCATTTCTGGAATTTGTATTAATAGAGTATTTCTAAATGTTCATACCAATTTAATTTACATTAGAAATTTTCGTTCAACTGGAGATACCGGAATTGATGTATTAAATAAGGCCTACAATTTCTAAAAAAAAAAAGAATATATAATTCAAAGGGACTAAATAAATAAACAGCATCATTAGAGAAATAACTTGTCATTGCAATTGATAATCTCTATTTTTTAAAAATATAATTAATAAATTAAAGTAACAGAAATATGAGAAACTAAATATCACGTAATGGAGTATTTGAAATTTAAAAATCTGTTCCTATTAATATATACCATATAGTTGATAACAAAATTATTTCAATTAATGATTAGAATTATGGCATTTCTTAAAGATAATAATTCAATAACATATAAACCAGATTTCTAATGTTCAACTTATAAAACAAATAGTTTTACAACATTTTCAGTAACGTAAAATCTTATCCAAGTATTTTTATAAACGTGACAACATTACATTAATGATAAACAATATCTTCACAGGGTTCTTAATAGAATAATTTTATTTTAACCTGTATTTATTGTTTTTTTGAATTATTTAATTATATTAGTGCATCAGATATTTCTTCAGACCTATATTAAAATTAAAATTGTTTAGAATATGTATGATTTTTTTTAGGTATTCAATATTTACATTGACTATTTAGAAAAAATATCATTAAATTTGCAAATCAATTAAATATATATAACCTAAGTCAATCTATTTTATAATTGATTCAGGTTCTTCTAAATAATTTTTATTAGACTAACATTCTGAAATATAATGTATTTATATCATGAAAGAAATCATTTATTTATTTTTTTTTTTTTAGATTATGAAATCTCTCATTTGTTGCTGCAATAAGATAAAATAAGTGACATTACATCACTTTCAAAACAAAGATTAAATCTTTTTCAGTATAGTTATTGTAAAAAGTAAGACTACTGTTGAACAATTATTAATTGATGTAAGTAGCAACAGTTCTAGTACTCAGAACAAAAAAGTGTTATTGATATTTTGCAATGTGCTTATAGTAATCAAAAAGTAAAATAATTTCTTAACAAATGTTAATGATTCATGTTGCAACAATGATCTTTAAGAAGTAATTAATTTATTATACCAGGATTCAAAATAGGGAATATTTATTTCATATATAGTTTTTTTTTTTAAAACAGGTTTCAATTATTCAATCAGCCAAAACTATTTAAACATTTCCTCATGTTTACTTTGTTATTATAAGTATTATCAACGTGAAGTAATTGAAAATATAATTATATAGTATTGGTGACCCCTGTTCTGCAAGGAGATGTTTCTACGAGATAAAAAAAAAACCAAATGTTATAAATAAAAAAAGTTTATGTTGAAGCATTTGTTCAAAACTTGATAGGATATGTTTACTTAAGCAATTATGTTGCTATTTAAGATTATAAGCAGTATAATCATGCTCATGCACAAAATCCGGTTGAAACTTACTTTTCAGATTGTCTACGCCTATAAAGAGACAGAAAGTATATATTAGTTAAATGTTACATAATCCCTTGGAACAAATTATCATTAGAGAATAATTCATTTCATTTAAGTAGGATTAAGCCATTTATGATTCATTTTTATTTCAACAATCAAAATCTGATGGATCATGTTTTAAAAAACTAAAAAAAAAGCTCATTTAGATACTGTTAAAAAACAGAAAAAGAATAATTATAATAGAAATTGTAAAATTAATAAATAACAAACAACTGAAGACATTAAATATTTATAATATATTTACATTATTTTAATTAACTAATACAAGTGAAAATAAATCTTGTAAAAATTGTTTCTTGTCCTTTGATTTGATTTTAAGGAATTGAGGGTCCATAAAATTAATTTATTGTCATATATGAATAAGTACTTATTAAAGTTCTTGTATTAAGTTGATGATATCAAAAGGAAATTAATTTCTGGGTAACTCGTCTGTTGATTTTTACAATGGATCTTAATAACTTAATCTCCTTAACAAAATGAAAACTGATTATACTTATAAATATTATCTTTTATAATTTAATGATAACTTATTATGCACTATAATTTGTTCAATGTGGGAAGAAAAATATTTAGATGTTAAAAAAGAAAAGCTCTACTAAATAATTAAAAAAGAAAAAAATATTAATTTATAAAAAAGTTTATCAGATATTGGTATGAAAAATACATAAATATAAAAAAATTATATATTCTAAAAAAATGAAAATAAAGAGCTATATAAAAATAATTACAGTTACAAAAAATGTTATAATTAAGCAAAACTAGTTTAGTTATGTTAATTGTTTTAAGTTAATTAATTAATAAATTAAGAATGGTGAATATATATTAGAATGTTACAATGATGAAATGGATTTTGGCTATCTTGCACAGCTGTTAGTGTATAATCATCTTTAATCAGCTGTGTTGACATATCTTCAATTAATATAGAGGATTCAGTATATCCAAATAAAACTGTATTAACAGTTTAAGAAAAAAAAATTATCATCAACAATTACGAAACATTTTTATTTGTTCCTAGTTAAAATAAAAGATAAATATCCATGTTTTTATATTATTTACCCATTATTACCTGAAAGTAAACCAAGTTGTATCATTAAGCTGGAAATCTATAATTCAGATTTTTCATCTATAATCATAATCAAATTTTATTTAAATTATGTGAAGTATAATTTGATGTCTCTTGGATTTTGTTAATTTTCTATTTTAAGATGTTTTGTGTTTTATTGGTAATAAATTTACCAAAACTTTTTTATAATTACGATGTATAGCATTTATTCATAAATCGACTAAGTCATGCATGAGAAGCCAATATTTTTTTATAGGCCAATATTTTTTTGGGGGCTCTTGGCTAGAGTCTGAAATGGGGCCCCTTATTGGGACAATATATATATATATTGTGTGTGTGTATAAAATTGATTTCCAGGGATTTAAATATATAATAAATTCACCCAAATAAAAAAAAACAATTATTTTAGGGGCCATTTAATAACAGTACTAAATAAACACAAAATAAGGATATTCGGGGCCCTCACATGGGAACCCCCAATCATTCTACGGAAGGATCCCAAAAATTTGCAGAATTAAACAAATTATTTATTTATTGATTTAAATAATTAAATAATAATTAATTAACATTCTTCTCTTTTTGGGTCAGAAGTTAAGTTCATAATTGCCATGGTATTAAGTTATATAAAAAAAATTAGAACCTTAAAATCAGAAAAATAAATGTATCGCTTGATAAAGAACATTTTTGTTGGACCCATTGGTGGAGAGCCAAAAATGTGAGAAAATAACCAAATACAAATCAATTTTTTTGAGGGACAAACATACCATGGTATTAGATAAATACAAAACAATGATCTTCGAGGCCTTCAGAGGGGGCACCCAATCATCCTATGGTGATAAAAAAGTGCAAACATTTATGTTGGAAAAACTTGAGGAAATAAACTAATACAAAACAATTATTTTTGGCATACTAGAAAAATATAAAACGATTATTTTGGAGCCCCTTCCGGGATCCCCTAGCTCGGGGGTCCTCAGCAATCGCCAACCTGACCAGACTTGGCCTGGTCCTAATGAGAAGCTAAAGGGGCTTATCTACAAACAGAACTGTTAAAATGATAAAAAATAGTGAGAAAGAACATGTCTCTCTAATGGATCCAAGATTTAATTTTGTAGGGTGTCAGTCAGAAAGATTTTTTTCATATATATTATAATAATTACTTTGAAAGATAAATAAATAAACTAACTACCTATATGAAATGGTGTTTAATTGATTCTCGAGGTTCAATCAAATGTAATCCGACAAACAATAATACTTTTTAAAAATATTTTTATCATAAAACATCGTTATATTTTACTATTTTGGGAAGGAGGTGGAGGCTTCAACCCGAATGCCCCCCTCCGTAGATCCACCTGTGTTCTTTCTCAATAGTCCCAGCTTTTGACTTCCTTCATTAACAATGTGCAGCTTACTATTTTAGTGAATCTGGGTTGTGGAAATACTAGAAAGTGAGAAAACTGCACTTCATACTTTTTTTTTTCTTCTTCTGGCTCATCATTCAGGTCCCGATAGGTTCTCAGTCTCCGTTCATTATTCTCGTTCACACATAAATACAGTTTGATACTTTCCGTTCAAATGTGAGGAGAAGTTGGTCTTCAGCTTCCAGATTTCCGAGCCAAAGCACAGTACAAGAAGAATGAGAGTCCTTTGTATGGTCATTTTTGTTCATTTGGTAATCAAATTGCTAAAGAAATTCTTTCGAAGTCCAAAACAGCAGTGATTGGCAGCCAATATTCTCCTCCTAATCTCCACTACAACATAGTTGCTGCAGGTTACCGTTGATCCCAGATAGACAAATTCTGAGTCCTATTCAAAGCTGTAGGAGCCAAACAAAACATTTATGTGTAGTAGTCAATCATGGAGCTTGATCCTAAACCAAGTACTTGATTTTAGATTCAGTCACAATCAGTGCCTCCCGTCTCGCAGCAACTTTCTGAGGAAGGAATGCCTCAACTAACATTTGCTTATCAACTACCATTCGTTATTAATCTAATCATATCAAAACTTGTAGTATGACGTTTTCTGGGGTTGCTGAATTTGAATTCCATGCCTAATTTTCAAAATTAAGAATGCCATATAGAGTTTTAAATAATGACACAATGTCCTACAAAGATAGTGTGACCGAAAAAACACGCAATTTTCTTAATATTTAGCACGAATTGTCTTTTTTTTATTATAAAAGTCCCAAAACTTTATCCTTTCGGATGTATTAAAAGTAACCACTCAATATAGATAAATCTTGAATAAATATTTCATCTTAAAGGTTACTGTAAAAAGTTGGTAACTGACATTATCTAATGAAATCCCCTTTATATCGTTTGCTATACTATTTAAATTTTCTATAGAGTCTAAGTGTAATAACCTTTTTTTAAGTTAAGTGAAAGTTAAGTGTAAAACTTTCTATCGCTAATCGTGTGATTACATATATTTAATAAAAACATTAGTTTCCAACTTTTCACATTTAACAAATGATAAGTATATTTAGGGCATTTGTTAATAAATTAAAATAAATTTTGTTAGTGTTATTTAAAATTGCCAGTAAGTATAGAATTTCCAAGATATTTTTTTAATAATGTGAAAATTATCCTAAACCTGGATTAAAAATATTTGATACATATATCTACAATATATTGTTTTTATATGAAACAACTTGTATTTGTTAGATATTTAACCTTCAAATATTGTGTTTAAAGGTCCTAAAGCAATATGTGTTCAAATATTAATATTTGACGAATTATTAGTTTATAGCAATATGAATGTTAGTGTTGCCCAAATGCAAGACCATGACTCGACCATGAACCAGTCTTGGTCTTGTGCAAGAGTCTTGCAAGTCTTACACTTACCTATTAGCTTATTGCTTTTTATTAAACATGTTACATTAGATCTTAGAAAAATACTAAACGATAGGTACATTTAGGTGTTTTATTGACATTAACATAGTAAAGTCCAACTAAATTACTAAAATTTACTTGACAATACATTAAAGGCATTTTCAAGAAAGATAGTGATAGGCTCCCACCTTAGAATGGAAGAGTTATAGAGTAAATACAATCTATACAATGTCACCAATTATTTAAATTTAAAATCTGATGTGTCCATTCACACGACTTTCCTACCGATTTTAAACATTTTAAATATGTTCATTATGACAGTGTTTTTAATTTACTTATCTTTAAGTTATTTCATTATTTAATGTATATAGTTTTTTTTTATTATTTATTTTTTATTTTACTTTTGTCAATTTTATGTTTTCCGTATATATGGTGTGAATGTGTTCATATCTCACTATAATTATTGTCCATGTGACAGATTATTATATTTCTGAATAAATAAATTTAAAAAAAAAGTTCATATGACTGTGTTTTTATGTTTTTAATTCGCTTATCTTTAAGTTATTTTATTTTTTAATTTATATAGTTTTTTATTATTATTTAGTTATTATTGTACTTTTGTTAATTTTATGTTTTATGTATATATCGTGTGAATGTTCATATCTCACCATAATTATGGTCCATGTGACAGATTTTTATATTTCTGAATAAATAAATTTAAAAAATATACATATGTTCGTTAAAAATAACAATTGAATTTTTTTTTTGTTCGTAATAATAATATTTTATTGAGAATAAAAAATACATTTTGCCTCAATTTAGGGCATTGAGTATTTAGGATATATGAAAACAATCGAATTAGACGAATTTTCATGATAATCTATCAGAGGAATCATTGGAGTACAATTTCTTTGAAGAACTAAAGCAATGTAAACGGGCAAGTGAACAATTATTAAAATCAGTGTATGAAATTCAATACTCTGTAATGTTGCTAAAACTGGTCCGATTTAGAAAAAATTTTTAATAGTTTTGTCGGAAATTTAATACATTTTTAAAAAATGTTACCACTACATAGTATAGAGATATTACTGTAATTTTTCTGAATGGGGGAACCTAACTATTCCCAGAATGAAAAATTATTTTGCTGTCCGAAAAAAATGCACTATTTTGGTTTATAAAGGAAAAAGAAAGATTTACTACTGTTTTATTTAATCAAAAGTGTCTCTACTACTATCAATACATTTCTGTCAACGTGTTGGCAACTTTTCCATTCCATCGGAATAGAATTTCCCATCTTTAGAATTGATAAACTCCAAAAACGCATTTTCTTATTCCCTTTGTCCATTTATTTTTTTGTCACCTAAGTAGTGGTCCAGGTGCCTAAAAAGATGATAATCCGTAGGCGAGAGGTCCGGAGAGTAGGGCGGATGTGGTAGAGTTTTATATCCAAGCTCCAACAATTTTTGTGATGTCACACGTGAGTCATATGGCCGGGTTTTGTCATACAACAAATGGATCCCTTCCGATTGACCAAAGATGGCTGCATTATTTCTAATTTCTGATGCATCGCATTAATTTTGTTACAATACGATTCGGTATTGATGGTTTCTTCAGGATTTACGAAGCTGTAGTGTATCAAACCAAATGAAGCCCACCTAACAGTAACCATCACATTTTTTTGATGAGTTGAGAGCTTTGGAAAATGTTCTGCTGCTTTTTGTGTGTCGAGCCACTGTCCAGAACGTCTACTGTTATCTTAAAGTATCCACTTTTCATCACAAGTTACAATTCTGGACGGAAAATGGTCGTTTTTATTTCGGCAAAAAAGTCTAGCACAAACGTCATAACGCTAGTTTTTTTGGCGGTCTTTTAATGTGTGTGGAATACAACTTTTTTACCTTTCCATTGGCCTTCAGGTTGTCATCGTCCCCCGCTGAACATCGTCATCAAGAGGAAATCTTTCCATGACCTTCATTGTCTTCAAGGCTGAAGTCTCCCTCCCGAAATTGTTTGAACCACCGTTGAACAGAGCACTCATTAAAGCTGCTCTCGCCCCACATTTGATTGATGTTTCTGGCCACCTGGGCCTCATTCCGGCCGAGTTTAAACTCGTAAAACAAAATTATACGAAAATCACTCATTGACATCTTAGTAAAAAATGAATTATTTCTAAGCAGAGAAATGCTGTAGAGTTAAACAAACACCATCGTTTGGAAGAGGATTAATAAGTGTTGACATTTATACAAATGAATAATCCAGTAAACGTAAATAGTTTGCTATATAGAGGGTTTTTTAAAGAAAACTCAAAATCCTGCATTATTTTCCGGACAACGTAATAGAAGAGTTAAATGCAAAAGCATATTGGTACTAACAATTTTTTACACTTAGTAACTAAAATTGTGTAATAATAGTAACTTTTTTTTTTTTTGCTAGTTCGCGTCTTGGTCTTGGTCTTGCAACATTTAGGCGGTTTTGCATTTTGCAAGACCAAAATCGATTTTGGGCAACACTAGTGAATGTTAAATAAATATTACATAAAATATGAGAAAATTAAAAATTATTTATTTTAAATGTAGCAAATGTCTTTTGCTTTGTAAAAGCTGTCATGCAGTGTTATTTTGCTTGATGGGTGTATTTTTTTTTTATTTATTGCTTTTAGTATGTTGAAAATTAATAGCTTTAAAGATCTTTGAATAAATTTTTAATTTATTTTTCCGTGAATATTGATACTGCGATTAGTAATTAATGTGAAAGTTAACTTTGTATTGGTGCTAAGGCAGACTTTTGTTTTCTGTCTTGGCAGAGATTTAGAAGTCTTCTCTTTTTTTATAAATAGTTTTTAAATTTAAGTTAAGCAAAAGCACCTAACCAACGCCAAAGATAATGGAAGCATTTATATTTAAAATATTAAAGATGAACTTACTCAGTCTTCTTTTGAGGCTCGGGCTCTGGTACACTTTAGTATTCCGCGAAATAAAATAAAACAAATAAAACAAAATCAAATTATATTTGTTTATGTGATAAATGAGTGTAATTCAATGCAATTCTTTTTATTTTTACATAATAAATAACTCAAATATAAGTAAAAACTTTAAATAAATTATAATTAAAAAATATGTTGGTAAAGATACTTACGTCTCCTCTTCGGACTCCCTGAAAGATGGATTATATTTAGTTCATGCTCATTCAAGACATAATACATTATATGCATATCTGACATTACATGAGGGAATAAGGGAGAAATAAGGATTTATCACAGAAAAAATGAATCAAAGGAGAGATAGGACATTCTACTTCACAAGTTGCATGTTTTTTTATACTCACGAATACTCCTCGTCAGACATGTTGGCAGTTATTGAGCAAGGGGCTGGAAGTAAACAAATTTTATTAAATTTAATATATAAATATTTATAATTGTGTAAAAATATATTTTTAACAAGGGTTAATAAGCATCCTTCTCCTGTGGTTCTCTTTTAGTATTCGTTCCCATGGGATGAGAACAAACAGGGGTGCCCACACGGGGGTTTCATGATGCAAGTTGCTCCATCAAAATGTTTGAGGGGGTCACATTTTAACGGGATTTAAATGTTTGAAGGAGGGGGGCACATTTCGACTAGGTAAGGAATTTTCGAAATGAAAAGTTTCAAACCAGAGAACAAGAGGAAAGCAAAGAACAGACCACTGGAAGTGTCATTGCATGTGTCTTATTATTTTTAAAATTCTACTTTAGCTTGAACTGTTTTTAAGAAGATGAAAGCAATAAAATATCTTGGGAGAAGAGGGAGGGAGGTTCATGTGCCATCGACCTTGGGTAGGCTGGGCATCCCTGGTAAGAAATGTGGACATGAAATAATGTGAGTTGGGTTCCAATTTTATTCAACAAAGCATATGGGTTATTATCATGAGACATCAAATTCGTATCTTTTGAATTTGAGGTTGTTTTTACATGCCTATAATTTTTCGTGTATTTATGGTCTTATCTATTTATTGTATTTATCTTTCTATCATTGTTAAATATTAAATGACCAAAATACTTATATTTAAAAAAAATTTAAATTTCGAAATTCGACGTTACTGTCTTTATACTTTCCATACCCTCATTTACTAAAACATAATCTCCTGAAAAAAATCTATCACAAATCGAAATTGATTTTTATATTTCATAAGTGGATATTAAAAAAATATATATATTTCTTCACCCAGTAATCCTTTTCCGTTTTGGAATTCTCTGGACAATAATTTTTCATCTGACACCTATTATTTGTATAAATTTCTCTAATTAGGTTCAAAATTCCAGGGTCTACTCCAGTTCGCGTGGCACACTGTCGTATGCCTTTTCCAAGTCAATGAAAATTAAATTTAGTCTTTTTGACTTGTCCGTTTGTTTCTCTGATAGCAATCTTACAGTGAAAATATGGTGAATACAGGCCCTCTCTGGTGTAAATCCACATTGATACTCAACTTGAACATACTGCTTTTCCAATTGTGTTTTTACAATTGTTCCAAGCAGTTTCATGAATGGGTTTGTCATAGAATAAAATTAATAAGCTTTTTAAACAATACCCTATGGTCATTAGGTCCTAAGCAATATATGTATTTAGGGTTTAGTGAAAACGCGTGTACAAGCATGTTACCGCTATCTTGTAGGGAAATATTCATTTACTAAGGTAAACCTGGGTATTATATATAACTCTGGACAGCTCTTACCTTTAGTGTTGCAAATTTTAACAATTTTACAGATTCACCATTTAATAAGGAGGGTTTATGTCAACGTGAACTTACAATCGAAATAATTCTATTTTTATTCTATCACAAGCAGGTTACCTTAATTTCACCATTCTACATTGATTTATATTTTTATCAGCGGTTAAATTAAAAGTCCTACTGAAGCAGTTTCTAAAAATCAATATTTTTTATTGTTAAATAGTATTAATTCATTAAATTTATTTTTTGAGTTGACCTCTCAAGTTGGCTACTATCATGTGCAACATCTTACCACTATACTTAGTCCAAGAAAATCAGAAAACAAAACTAACAAAAAAAAAAAAAAAAAAAAAAAAAAAGAAAGGAAATATAAGAGAGAAAAGTACAATAAAATTGCAATGCTGCTCAACTGTATCAGGTTGTTTCCTAAACGATACAGCATACTGATCAGTATTGTGATATGATAGTGAAAACAACAAAACAATATTAACTTTTACGGAATCATCATCCTAAATAACCTAGGTTATGATTTCCTTGTTATTCTCATTCTCTTCATTTTCTTTTCCTCCTATTTTCTCTCGGTCTCTAGAATTCGCAGCGCTATACCCAGAATCAATATAGGTAGAGATGCAAAATTCCTAGCGAGTCCAAATTAACGGATTCTAACATACTCTACAATTGATTCCTATTCACTCCCAGAGCTCTTAAAAAAAAATTACCAGTTGAAAGAGGAATTGTTCCCCTACTAACAAAAGTCCTCGAACCGAAAACTCTCGTTCACCAAATTCCTCTCAATATTTTTTGAATAGATATGGAATGCATTTTTTTAAAAAGATTCCTTCATTCAACAAAAACCTTTTTGTTGGGTCCACTATCAACCTCCTTTCCTTTCGCACTAAAAGCTAAGATATCCACAAATCTTTCTGAGACTTCTATTTCCAGGCAATCAACTTCGAAAAAGCATCTATACTTTTTATTTTCCTGGAATTCGGCTATTTGATGTTTAATATTATTGTGCCAGCTGGTGATAAGGAGCTATTCGGATATTTGTCCAATACATGAGCTTGGGCTTCTGACTCCCGACCACATTTTCGGCAGAGGAGTGATATATTTCCAATTGCCTAGCTTCCTGCCCCTGCAACTCTAAGGAGAGGAGCATAGTTGACGTTTAATTTTAAAGCATTCGTCCACTCTGAGCCCGCAAGAAATTTCCTGTCGTACATAAACTTGTTAGTCCATATATATGTATACATATAAGCTTGTTTCTGGTTTTATATTATTACTACTAATCGTTTTTGAAACAAAGTGTCAAATTATTTTAGGTCATCTGTTGCTCATAAGATGCATTTGTTATATAAGATACAGATGCATATTATAATAAATATACCATTTAAGTTTTTTTTCTTTCAGGAATTGTCTCCTTCTCTATCCAAAAACAAATCAAACGAAATCCTATTTTTATAAGAGTTGAATCCTTTCACAACGTGTTTTCATTTCGTCATTTAGGACATTATATTTATTTTAAATAATATATTTATCTAAAAGCAAACATTAACGTTTTCAGGTTCATAAAAACAAAATAAAAAACTACACGCGTATAGTGATCGGTTTGTTATCCTAATAATAATGGTGAGATACGCCCAGGCCACACAAGAGAACGTAATTGTAGTATAGGTTAGAAAACGTCTACGTAACATAACTCTAGGCTTGGTTTAGAAGCAATGCCTAAATGTACCGTATAAATGGTCCAGGAGTGCCATTCTCACCAAGATTAACCTATCTCCCTACTCCCAAGATATTTCATTCCTAACCTTTTCGTAAATACAGAGTAAGCGAAGGTAAAATTTAAAAAAATCGTAGATGATATACAATTACATTTGCTGCGGTCTGTTCCACGTTTTCCCCTTGTCCCTTAGTATGAAACTTCATTCCGAAAATTCAAAAAAAACATCCAAAATATGGTCCCTCAAAATTTTTTATGGCGCTAGTTGCTGGTCTTTTGGACACCTCTGCTGTCCTATATATATATATATATATATATATATATATATATATATATATATATATATATATATAAGTATCCAATATATGCTGTCCTATATAGATCCAATGAAAACAGAAAAGTTTTTAAGTTATTTTAAATTATCAAATTAATTTAATATCTGTAAAAACCTAATCCTTTTCACCAGCAGGTTTTTATTACTTAATTTTGACTAAATATATTTGATCAAGATAAATTAAAAGCATACAAATAAATTTGATGAAATGTATGTATTGGAATAAGATTAAAATAAAATAAAAACATACAAAATAATGGAATTTAAGAAAAATATAAATGGAAAGTTCTTTTCGTAACTTCGAATATTGTCACACAAGGTCAATTATTGAATCCTTATTTCGAGGTACTGTTAAAAAAATATGAAGAATTATTGATAAAATGCCAGATAATATGTGATTATGATTAATTATTTATATTTGTTAATCTTCAGGATTGTTTGGTTAATATACCGTTGATAATTAAGATCTTATCTTGATAGAAGCAGATGATAACGCCTTTACATGAAATGTTAGTATTATGATAGCATTGGAAAGTTTCTGGCCGCTTAAGTCCTCGATATCCGACTATGAATTATGGATATGACTCAATTTCCATGAAACTTTGAGAGAATAATAACAAATAAAATAATAATAATATAGTTAAATAAAAAAGAAAAAAAAAAGTTAATCATGAGACCTTAAGTGGATATAACTGAATAGCCATTTAAATTGAAAATCACTGAAAATAAAGGGGCATAATAATCTCGAAATTTATCGTCCTAAAACTCCTACCTTATCCCCTTCCCCCTCCACTTAGATAGTAAGGGTAGAACATAGTAGAAATTCAAATTTTGATAAAATGAGTATGGTTGACTATTGTATAAACCACTAGCGGATCCAGGATTTAATTTTTGGGGGGAGGCTTCAGCCCGGATAATTACTTTGGAAAAAAAGAAAGAAACAAACTATCTATTTGAAATGGTGTTTAAGTGATCCCTTAAGTCCTTTTAAATGTAATTACGCAAACAATAATACTTTAAGATATAATTTTTTAATATATTTTTCTATAAAACATGGTTATATTTTAACATGTTGGGGGTGGGGCTTCAGCCCGAAAGCCCCTCCCCCCCAAAGATCCGCCCGTGGTATAAATTATCAGAGTTCGGCGGCCTTTCTCATAAGGATCTTAAATCATGAAACCATTATTAATACCCTTAAAGTTATGAAAACTATTTCAACCGAAAATTAATATATATATATATATATATATATATATATATATATATATATATATATATATAATTTTATTTTATTTTTTTAATTTTCGGTATTATTCGGTATTTAATATAATATATTATATTATCATTTTATGAAATTATCATGTTAACGATTTAGAAATATAGCCTCATAAAAAAATATTAAAAACAATATTTTATGATTGCTGTCATCAACAATAAATAATTGTGTAGTCTTATTTCTGTTTAGGGCAAGGTCCACTGCCGTGGCTTTTACTAATGTTGTTCATGAAATCAGTGTTCCGAAAACCAAATTTCTAATTTTTAATCCAATTGGTAACTCAGTTATCCAATAAGATAGTTCATCGATGTAGGTCAAATGCCCTCCTCAAAACATTCTCCCACTCCTGAGAATTATCCCTAATGTTGGCGTAAATTGGTATATGATATGCCGCATATGGTAATATATGATATTACTGGGTTCCTTCAACCCTATTATTACATGATCTTTTAGAGAGGAACGCAATTTTAAGAAATAATAACAAATATTATTTATAGAAATAAAGTTTTATTTTTAAGCTTTGGAGCTTCCCAATAGTTTTAAACTACGACTATGCTCATATGTTTAATAACAATTATTTCTTGTTTAAAGAGGCAATTTAAGCATAGTGGAGTTACGTTTTAGCCTAGTATGTCAATTTCTGAAGAGATGAAAAATTTGAATGAATTTGTATTTTTAGATTGAAATAAATCTGCTCAATTGGTTATTTGTTTACAGATATTAAATGAATTTGGTAAGTTAAAATAATGACTTTAAACAAATAAATAAATAGTAAGAACTATTCTGTTTTAGCGTTGTGTTACGTTGACGTTCGGATCCCGGCTGATGGCAATTATTTACTCAGTTCCGTTGACCGTGGATCGACCTTTCGTTCGGGAGAGCCTCCTGGGGCACACCCAGTCTCCATTAAGTGGGTACTGTTAATTAAATAATTGATTAAGATTGAAAGCCTGGTGGTTGAACCTGATCTCATTCATATCCTTGCACAACCGTTGATTAAAAATCAGTATTTCCTTACCAAGTAATGAATCCAAGACTCTTTATGAGTTACAGTGGTACAGGTTTTTTTACCATGATTAAAAATAATTTCATTTTCATGTGCTTACCATGTACCTTTCCTTGTGGAAATTTTTTTTTTTTAAATATCTGTTTTCGATAGTTAAAGTTTAATATCAAATATATCATTAATATCAATAAATCTATAAAAAATATCAGACAAAAATGTCGCTATATAACGATATTTTTCCGATATCCTTACTTTTATTGACTTCTTTTTCCGAAAACAATGTTTGTTTTCTAGTAATAAACTATGTGGAATAATTATTTATATTCATGTGAGACTGAACAACAAATTGTTTTTACTTGAGAAGCTTTGTCAAAAAAGAATCAATTTATTAATGGAAATAAATTGTAATTTTTTTTCTTTTAATGTACAAAAAAGGAAATTTAATTTTAAGATTTCAATTTAATGTTAAACCTATCCTCCTTCTTTTAAAGATTAAATACATTGAGACCTGAAATTTATCGATATTAACATTCCTAATATTTTATACTCTATAGAAATATCGGAATTTTGTTTTCGATACATTTGAAAAATAACGATACGATATATATATATTTTTTTTTTTTCTTGCGATATCTTGGATTTAGGTTATTTTCGTTTTGTTTTCTAAATATGAATAAATCCTTAAATATATTATTATGGAACAGGATAAGCCCAGTTAGTGAATATTTGTAGAAGTGATTCTTAAAATTTATTTAAACTTGTTGTTATCTGTTATTTTTATTATTATTACAACTTGAATAATTTTTTATTCAAATTTAATTTATTTATTTAAATGAAAATTTATTTAAAGCATACGCAATTAGTATGCTTAGTCATAACCATTCAATTAAATTAATTTTTAATAGTCATTTAAAAACATTAAAACCTCAATCATACAGTGACGTGGCTAGGTCATATGGTGAGAGGAGATAACAACAAGATTCCCTCCCCCTCACTATTCCAGGTAATCTCCTTCCAGTCCCCACCCATTCCTCAATACGCTAGCAGTTGAAAAATCTATTGAATCATTTTTTTAAAAATAACTAATTTTGTTAAAAACTGTATTTATTTTTTTTGGCGCCCGGGGAGGACACCGGTTTGCTTCAGTCAAAGTCAATATTATTCATTACGTAGTACTACATGCAAACCCTATTACTTCCAAGTCTTAACTGGTTTTTGAAGAAGAATAAATTCTATTTATAAATATAGTTTAGTAATATACATTAAATGAGAATCCTAATAAAATTCTATTTGTTAGTTATTTTAAGTGTGAATGGACGTCTATAACATGTACCAGAGTTATTTTTCAGATATGATTCCGATTCACGTCCTATTTATGTGACTAGAACATTTATTAATCGGAAGGTGGCTGTTTTTTTTTTTGTTTTTTTTTTCAATTTTATAGCTGTTAAAAATATAATGCGAACTAATAATAAGGATTGTACATCGAATAATTCCTTTATGAAAGCCGTGCAACCCAAAAAAAAGTATCAAACTCGAGAAAAATTAATAATAGTAGAGAGGGGGCTAAGTGTAAGAATAGAAGAATAGAAATATTCAGTGGAAGTCTGGTTTCAATTCCAAAATTAGGCTGGGAGGCAGTTTGTCGGTCATTTGATCTTTTATTCCCCCTCTCTCTCAAAAGGATTTTGGCAGCGCTTCCCTCCTTCCATTTGTAATTTGAACAAGGATACTATACATGGAAATCGAGAAAAAAACAAATAAATATATATTTATATATATTAAATATACCCAAGAGTAAAAAAAATATATTAAAAAGAAATTGGAATCAGAATTCGTCTAGTTTTATGAAATTTATACTTTATTTTTAAGCATTTGTATAATTTTTTTTTTAGTTTCAGATTTTTTTTTTGTATTACAAAAAGTATCCCCAGGATTAAAACTGTAGTTAACATCTGATTAAAAACATTTAATAAATTAAACATATTGATATCAATTGCTAGTTGAATCGTATAGGTTGTAATATAATTTTATTAATTTTTTATAGGTAAAAAAAAAAATTAAAATGTTCAATATTTCTTAACGATATTTTTTTTTTTTTAGTAAGAAATGCATATTGTCTATATGTCTTTTAAAGAAGGTGGCAGTGGTACGTAAGCCAAGAGCTAAGAATGTTATCCACTGGGAGTCGAGCCTAACCGGAATAACTCCGTTCTATTTTCGTATTGGCGTCTTCCACCCCTTAGATGGTTAAATCTCAAGTTTCAAAGTATGAAAAAAAAAAAACTTTGTTAAAATATTATTCTGGGTAACCATTGTCTATCAGTTATATAGTCTGTGTTTTATTATATATAACTCATTGCCATTCGTTAGTGAAGTTAAAAAATTCAAATATTATAGGTGTTTATGTATTCCTATTATTTAACACAAACTGTTCAATAAAACTTGGAACTGAATAATATATTCTACAAAACTTGATATTGATATAAATTTCTATTGAATTGAAGCTATGTTTTTAAGATAAAAAACATAAAATTTTTATGAGAATGAAAGTTAAATTAATTTTTTTTAAAAAAGAATATTCGAATAAGAAAAATTATATGTTTTATTGAAATATCACACACCTTTTCTCCTCCTGTCATATCTTTTTGTATACAGGTGTGATTTGAATAAAAAAATATTGTAATATCTTAAACTGTATCTGCGTTTGGAGGACTAATACATGTTTCCTCTGAAGCAGGTACCGGTTAAATTTCTGGATAAAGCTTTTTTTTTTCTTTTTTTCAAAATTTTGTCTATTGAACCCCTTTTTTAAAAATTAAAATAAAATTTTACTTACGTTCTGAATATGATTATATGGTCGTACCTGAATAAGGTCTAATTAAAAGTACACTTTCACTGGCGTACAGAATACCACTAACCTAACTCACACTATCGCTGTCGTTTAGGTTAGTTTATAAGTTAGAAGAAATCAAGAGCCGCAAAGACTTATCAGACAAAAAACTTATGGTTGGCAGGTGATGTTGATACTTTGCTCAAGTCCTGGCGGCCCTTGGCCACTTGCACACACACAATATGAAGGAGACACTTACAGAGCTAAAGGCGTGACTAACCGATGGAATGTAGAGCCGATTGTCACCGGTTCAACTCTGGCGGTTCTTCAGCGGCGCGGCCCCACTCCTAAGGCTATCCCCACCACCGGTTTCTTACCCCCACTCCACCTCTACGGAACAAGAAGGGGTCCCGGGGATCTAAGATTACATGGCGAGAACCCTTTACAAGGAGGGGAAGCTTGTGGACATAGATGATGGAATATTTTTGGATACTGATAGGATATTGAAACTTCAAATTTTATCTTCTCATAACTCGATGCGGAACTCTTTGTATAGTTGTTTAAAAATGATGTATGTCATCAAGATAAATAAAAATTATATAGAAAATTTATTTCTTAATCAGCGATCAGTTAATATTTTCTAAAATAACAAATGTAAACAAACACACACACATTATGTCAAACTTGAATCTATTAAAAATTTTAATTAGAAATAATTTCTCAGCATCAATATGAGAAGTAGCATAGTTACAATTCAGAGATTTTTAAAATATTCTTTATTAGATGCCATAAAAAGAACAAAAAAAAAATTACTTGCTTTGGTCAGTGTTAAAAAAACAAAACTGTTTTTAAAATTTACCTGTTATCACTAGGGCTAGGATTTTAAGGATTAATTTTTTTTTTTTTTCTGTTTAAGGGAAAATAGAGTTGTCAACAGATCTATCTCGATCTTGAGTAATAGATTCAAAACACAAAATCCTATAGGATCATTTTTGTAGTAGGTAGTATACTTCTTTGCACAATTTTTTAATTTTGTATATGTTTAGTAACCTTCCAGGAGTGTTCAACTTCTGCAGGAACCCATCTGGTCATTCCTAAACTAAGCATGAATCACTGCTGGATACAATCATTTAATTATATGTATATATGTATATATATATATATATATATATATATATATATATATATATATATATATATATATTTATATATATAATTTATATTTTTCTGTATTTATGTTGGTGTTCTGATTTAGTTGCTAAAATAATCTGGGCTGTACACATTTCACTAAACCTTTATTATTTCCACAACCATGGCTCCCATGGTAAAGTTTCTTTTTTTCTTACACCATTATTAAGCCATATAAAATGACTTATTAATCATTAATATTTTACAATTTAACATTTAATTATTTTGATTATATCTATATTTATTTTATTTGGAAAGGGTTTATTATGATTGTATGGTTTATTTAAAGTAGGATTAAATCTCTTTTTACTTTCATATCTATTTTATTTATAAAATTATTTTTAAATATGTTAAAATATTTATTGAAAATCATTTCAATTTTTTTTTCTCATGTGAGAGATACCATACATACTGGAAATAAATGTTTCAAAGTTCTTTTGAGTCAAAATAACTCTTCGCATTTTGCGCCATGAAACCCCCTTCTGAGCACCTCAGGATAAATGTAGTGAATAATCATTGTTAATTGCAGTAACAAGCGGTTCAACGGGGGCTGGGGAGGGGGTGGGGCTTAAGCCTGAAAATCCCCCCCCCCCTCTGTAGATCCACCTGTTGTAAAATATAACTGTTTTATGAAAAAAAAAATCTCTAAAAGTATTATTGTTCGTCTAATAACATTTAATAGGACTTAAAGAATCACTTAAACACCATTTTATACAGGTAGTTTCATTCATTCTTCCGAAGCAATTATCCTAAAGTATACATACCAAAAATAATCTTTCGGGCTGAACCCCTCCCTCCCCCCAAGAAATTAAATCCTGGATCCGTTAGTGATTGCAGTCATTAACATTGCCTGTTAATTGTAGTCACATTTATGTTATACCGAGGATGTTTATAATTTTTAGACTTTTAATGAAAAATCTATTATTCTTCGATATACTTAATTGCTTGTACTCAGAAAAAAAAATTATGATTGTATATAAATATGTGTGAAATAAAATATGAATTTAATTTTAAACTTTTTTCTAATTATAGGATCATAATGTTTCGTTTAACACTAAGATAAGAAAATAATGGTATTAATAAAAATTAAGACTTATTAACATGATGAGTTCAAAATTAAATTAACTAAAGAATTTTTATTGTATTGATTTTCCACAATCTCGGCTTCAGGCACAGTCAGATAAAGCACAATTGCCTGGGCGCCAATTTTTGAGGAGAGGTATATTGGAGTAGATCGTTTTTTTATATCGAAACAAATTTGAAATTATAGAAAAAAGCTCAATTAATATATATAAAATATGTATGGTATTTATAAATAAAATAATATGTCGACATAGTTTTCAACAATAAAGCAAAAACTATCTTGGGGGATGCATGAGGCTGGAAGAGGCGCCGTTATCTATCGAGTCGGTGGGCACAACATCAAATTCCCTTCTGATTTTCTGTTTGTAAATAAGAGAATATCCATTTGCGAAAAAGGCGTGCGAAACAAGGAAATATTATTTTTTTAAACACTATGTTCGCCAAATATCCTTCATTGAAATTTATGCATTCTTATGGCCGTTTCTGGAGGACCATCAGAATCTCTCGAGCTATCGTTCAATCTCGCCCAATGCGTTTTTATAGGGATTCACGGGCGGATCTACGGGGGGGGGGGGCTTTCGGGCTGAAGCCCCCCCCAAAATGGTAAAATATAACCATGTTTTATCGAAAAAAATATTAAAAAAGTATCTCTTAAAGTATTATTGTTCGTGTAATTACATTTAAAAGAGCTTTAGGGATCACTTAAACACCATTTCATATAGGTAGTTAGTTTCTTTCTTTTTTTCCAAAGTAATTATTGTTATTTTTATGAAAAAAACAACTTTCGGGCTTAAGCCCTCCCCCCCCAAAAATAAATCCTGGATCCGCTAGTGTAGGGATTAGATGGTCATTTATAGAATCATGAATATTTCTAGGCTCCCGTTCTCTCTATTTAACAACTGCCAACATACCACATGTGATACTAGCAAACATAAGTGAGGTCGATCTATCCAAAACTGTCCAAGCCGTCAAACAACATATTCGGGATGAGATTAAATTGCTATTTGCTTGGAATAAGGGAAAGGACGGCACATTTCAAGCGAAACTTGTTTTTCAACGTAAATAAAAAGTTATTTCTGTTCTTTGATGGTTTTGCCCTTAATTCGGTCGATAAATTAGTAAATGAGTTAATTTTATGTGAGAGAATTTGATTTCTTTTTTCTCGAAATATATAATCTAAAGTATTATAATAAAATGTTGAATTTTATTGCATGGCGTCAAAATAAAGCTTGCTCCTGACTAAAATCTTAGTTCTGACCCTGATATCCATCGATGTTCCACGAGGGGTCATGAAAACAGGCACGATCCCAAGAAGGCATATGTTTAAAAAATAATATTTTGTTGGTGTGACTCACCATATGGTTATTTTTGTACCTCCTTTATATTCATACATAAAAATGTATCCGTTAATAAACAATTTATCTAATTTTTAAATCATTCCGTTTTACTGCCGGACAACGTATCCGATTTTTTACAATTAAATCCTTCGACCTTTCCTAAAATGATCTTTCACGAAACTTGATGATGCCATTGGAAACAGGAGAACTGATGGAACGCAGCCAGTGATGTGGTGCATAAAAATCTTTCAAAGAAGGCGTGGTATTAAAATCACATCGTATTTTAAATACTGTATTTTAAAATAATATTTAAAATACATTTTGCCCAGGTATGTGCTAATCTAGCCAAAACAAATCAATGATAAATATTATTCCCACAATCACACATATTTCAATAATCTTTTAAGTCGCATATAATTCTATCCTAACAATTTCTGGTGCTCTTAACTGATTAATATTTCTCTACTGATGTGATAGTTTCATCCAATTACGTGGAAGTCATTTTTGGAACAGAACGAAGGATTTTTATGTAAAAATATTGTAATTAAAAAAATAAAATAAAATCTTATTTCCTAGGAACCTGTTAAAAATCGGATAACGGTTAACAATAACTTATTTGTCATAATTGAAGAGTAGAGTCAGATCTTAAAGTTTCCTTTTTTTTATCTGGTATACCATCAAGTTGTGAAATGAAATGAAATGAAAAATATTTTTATTATCCTGGGACTGATGTCCTTTTAGAACAAAGTATAAATACTGAGGAAATGCATGTGTGGCCATACATTACATTCAGGATACTTTTGCATTTATGAATTAATTTTTTTATTTTATTAAAATAATGGTAATCACAGAAACAATAATACTTTTATGGATAACATTTTTATATTGTTTCCTTGACATGTGTTCACATTTAGTATCTGAAACACACGTTGTAATCTAAAAAGAGAACACGAGGCTATGTAGGTATTTAAAAATTTAAAAAATATTATGGAATAATGGGAAAAAATCTATTTGAGGGGGGGGGGGCTTAAGCCCAAAAGTGCCTTCATCCCCAGGAATCCGCCACTGCTAATGTACCATTCCGTACTAGTTAGGAACAAGATCTATACCTATTATAGAATGAGGAAGACATGCCAATATTATTTACCTGTCTGACAGTATACGCAATCAGTTTATCATCACTCAGCAATACAAGAACACAGAATTATGGTAAATAAATGAATAAATATAGTAGGTTAACAGGCAGAGAGAGTATTAAATAGTAAAATATTATAGATTAAAATATGATGCTATACGCGCATCACACAAGTTCCGCTTACTACCTTTGTTTAGTAGGAATTAAATTTAAATCAAGTAATATATTTTAGAAATATTTGTTTAACCTAATATGCAAACGAAAATATATAATATTCGGTTAAAATATATAATATAAACGAATGACAATTGTTATTTTAAAAAAAAAAATAATTTCTCTGCACGCTTAAGTTTTGATACGTCAAGCTGAAAATAAATTTTGGAAGTTTTTATTCAGTTTTTTTTTTTTACAAAATTCCATTTTGTTTTCACGGAAACATTAATTTTCAATCATTTAAATGTAGGAATTATAAACTAAAAGACTTTTTTTTTTTATCATTCTCCATTACCTTCTACCACTTCATAGGATGGAAAATGATTTTTCTAAAATCTTTTTATCTTACCAACTATATATTGCAAATCTATATTATTACTTATATTCCCTAGAAAATTTATTACAAAACATTTTTCCTTTTATTTTCCTTTTGTTGGTTATCAATAGAGACCGGACGGACAACAAAATATAAAGAGAGAGGGAGAGGGAGAGTGAGAGGGAGAGGGAGAGA